CGAGGCGGAAGGGTTCTGGGTGATGTTTTTGCCAAAATTTCATTGTGAGTTAAATCCAATTGAGCAATGCTGGGGTTATGCAAAGCGCGTCTATCAGATGTGCCCGCCATCATCTCTAGATGCAGATCTCAAGAAGAATGTCATTGCTGCCCTTGATTCAGTACCCCTCACCTTGATGTGGTGCTTCAGTAACTGGACAAGGCACTTTATGGATGCATATAGGAGGGGTTTGACTGGGAGGGAGGCTGCATGGGCTGCTCGTAAATATCGGGGTCATCGAGTTCTCCTGGAAACCATTTTGGTGGACATGGATAAGGTGGGTATTAGATCACTGTAATATTATATTGTCATTTTGAGTCATTATAATAGAGGTATTTATTCACAATGATTATCTACTTTTATCAATTCCTCATGTACGTGATCTCAAACGACAAGCAGGTGTTCCTGTACTGGGTCAGGACTTAGCTGTCACACAACATCACACTTAGTCATCTTAGTTGGATATGGACTTTCCCTACCTTACCTTACCTTATCAAATGGCAGACATTGACACTAGCAGGCAGCTCCCTGGCAATCCCTGAGCTGAGATTGCCACACAGGGGCGACACACACTCATTCAGAAACCCTCTTCTCATCCAACTCTCTCAAGTCAATGATGAGCATAGTTCATTCAATCTGATGAGTCACTATGATCTCCGATACATCAGAAGATGACAGACACACTGGCCATGGCACCCCAATCTCCAGACATATGCACATGTTTGGTAGGGGTGGATGCAACTGTGTACTGTGCAGAGACAGAGACGACAAACTGATATGTACCATGCCCGGAGATCACTGTGCTGGAGAGACGCAGACTGAGGTCAGACGAGCCAATGAGTTTGAATGGCATGTGTTGCAACGACAAGTTCTAAATTACCTACAGTCTTTACACCTCCCAACAGCATGAATCGTCCGACCATCCTCTTGGCCAACCATTGCACCAAATCCTCATCAGCATGATGTAACAACCATCCTCATCAACTACGCCTGCTTTCTATCTGCCTTTTCCACTCTTTTTGGGCTGGTGTATAATCTGTACTGTCTATACAACCCACCTCCACCATCCTCCTGGCCCAGCACAAGGCCACCGTCCGACTTGATCAATTTTTTTGTAGCTTCTCTCTGGGTAGGATCTCTCCCACCTATTTCTACAAGTCTTTCACTTATCTTCCCTGCGGCAGGCTTTGCTCACCGCCTACCAAGCTCTTTCTCTCACAATGGGTATCCTCACCTGGTGGAAGCTCTACTACCCTTCTCTGCCAACCCTAGCTTGCCTGATCATGCTGCAGGGCATCTGCTGGCCCGCTACACACCTCACACTTGGCTTGCTGGTGCGCGAGGGCCCAATGGTGACTTGGGTGGTCATGGGCACAACGACTTGCATCACCAAGAGTATGCAGATCTGGGTAAAAAGCAACCTGTGGCAGGACAAAGATGTACATGGGATGGGACGGAGATCTGGTCATCGGAGGTGCCAATATGAGAGCCCTATGAGCATGTTGTTGGCGAGGGTGGCCAACCTCACAGAGTTTGTCATCACAAATGTGGGTTCGGGATTGTTCTCGGTCTTCTCATATTTGTTCTCCAACACGCATCACACAACCTCTCCCACACGAACAATGAGAAGACCAGCAGGAAAGGGCAAGAAGAGCTACTTGGATCGCCTCCTTGGAAGCTGCTGGGACTGGCATGAGGTCAGAATCTGGTGCCTGCTGCCTGCAGGCATTCTATACTTCGTCATGGTTTGGGCGGAGGAGCTATGGAAGGACAGAGTGATGAGGTTATCCAGATGTTAGAAAAGATGGAGGATATGTTGATGACTTACAGTCATGCATGTGTCTTTCCTCTCTTCCTTGTTTTGGTTGTTCTTGTTGTTTTCACCTCAAAACCATGTACCCATGCTTTTCCTATTTATCTCAAATTCTCTGTGGCAGCCTCTTTTCCACTATGCCTCCTTTCATTTAATTTTTGTAGATCAAATAAATTTTCCTGTTGTGTCTCCAAATCCACTCCTTTCCTGGCCATACTAAAACCTGCTTCAGTGTCGCTGTCAACTATCTGCAACCGACTCACCTTAATGCTTCATCTGGCCAGGACTCAACTTCGTAGCTTATAAGCACCTACTGATTACTTGCGTTGTCCATTTCTAAAAGTGAGTCGATGGCAGAGACAATACACGCACGATGTCTCAGCGACCTCTTGGCGTCTCAACTGTTGAATGGAGCTCTCGCAAACATATACGATTCATTCAGGAGTAATGACAAACCGTCAGCAACCCCTTCCGCACCTCGAGGTCGGAGTGGCCACCATCGAGTTTGTTGAGCAGCATCGACCAGAAACTAGACAGAAAGTATGCAGCATGACGGGTGACTGGCGTAGAATTTTAAATTTAAGCTCCCGGATGCGCGTCGTCAAGCTTTCGGTAGCGTTGGGTTCACTGATTAAGCGCTGGTCGCCTTCCATGCTGGGCGCCGTACGTCATATTTTGCTAATGCTCATATTGTCATGAATATTCCTCTTGTGACTTCGTCTTTGTTTGCAACTCCTGCAAATACGCAAACGACGACTTGGACACAATTGGAAGCATGAAGGCTCTCCGACCAAACCTTCGAGGCTATGGTGACCGAAGTCGACGTACACCAAGCGACACCGCGCCTGTTTTGGGCGAATCGCTCACCAGTGAAGACAGCCGAAAGGACCGGGGTAGAGGTGTATAATCGGAGTCGTCGTGATGGTCTAAGACGATGTGAAGGGCACAAATCCCAGACATGAACATTGCGAGTTCTCGGAGAATGAGTGGGCTGCGAACGGTTTCGTCGTCAGAGAATCCATGGCCCTATGAAGCAACAGACTCGCGAGCAGCCTCTCTTGTATTGTAATTTGTGCTCCTGATCCGCGTCATACCAAACGTGTACCATGAGTTGAGAGAGAGGTGCATATGCACGTACGTGGAGGGTGAGTACGCCAACCTCATGACAGCTGTCCTTCGACGTGAGATCGGCGAGTATGTATACCGGTATTTCCGTTCTTCTCATGAGAAGGCAAGCGGCGAAATTTTGTGAATGGTCAATTAGGTCAGAAGAGCGATATTCTGGTGTCCAGTAGGCGTTGTGATCAACCTTTTGGAACTTGATCTCCTTGTTGCGACGACCATGACGGAATGAGGACACGAGCTTGTGTTCGGTGGAAGGCGCGACGGCATGCGATTTTCACAAAGTGCGTTCATTCGCGTTACCGTTGCCCTCATGCTTAGGCTATCCGCTGGCATTGGAGAGTCTCTAGATGGCTGTGGAAGAGGAAGAGACGGCGGAGCAGGGGTGATGTGATCCGGGATGTTACTCCGGAGTCATGTGACTGGCCACGTCCTAGGTGACACGTCACTTGCTCCAGTGAATAAAGGACGGCGTTGCCAACTTGTTCTCTCTGTAAGACCACCACCATCCACGATGTCTCGTCTAGCCCGTCATCCGACGCGCGCTCAGTCGACTCGACTTTTCTCTTCCCTCTCCGTTCTCTTCTTCGCTTTCCTTGCTTTCGTTTCATTCGCCCCTTCCGCACAGGCCGAGGAGGCTCATCCTGAGTATGGAACCGTCATCGGTATTGGTACGTTGCTTTCTCTCTCTCTACGATATCCGACCGAAGGCCCTCATAACCGCCTTCTGCAGATTTGGGAACAACGTATGCAACTTTTTCTTCAATTTGCCGGATATTCATCGAGCTAACCGCTATGTGCTGGCATCCAGTTATTCTTGCGTTGGGTATGTCTTCAATGTCTTCACTTCTATGTCTCTCCGCATGGTGTCTGATTACTCTCATTCTTAGTGTCCAACGAGCCGGTGTAGTTGAAATTATTGCCAACGACCAAGGTCACCGGATAACACCATCATGGGTCAGCTTCACTGACGACGAGAGACTGTAAGTTTTCTTGCTTGCATTCAACTAAGCTATGCACTGAGCCTTTGCAATAGTGTCGGCGACAGCGCCAAGAACGCCTTCCACACCAATCCCAAAAACACCGTTTTCGACGCCAAGCGACTTATTGGTCGTAAGATGGATGACCAGGACATCGTCCGTGACATGAAGCACTGGCCTTTCACCGTCTCTGAGAAGAACGGCAAGCCTGCTATCACTGTCAAGGTCAAGGGTGAGGACAAGAGCTTCGTGAGTATCTTTTAGCAAGTGCGTTTTGGGGTCGTCGCTAAGTGCCTGCGCACACAGACCCCTGAGGAAATCTCCGCTATGGTCCTTGGAAAGATGAAGGAGACCGCTGAGGCCTACCTCGGCCACAAAGTCACCCACGCTGTTGTCACCGTCCCTGCTTGTGAGTTACCTAGAAGATCGTCATTTTTCCTGTCTCATTCAGCTTTACAGACTTCAATGACGCCCAACGTCAGGCCACCAAGGATGCCGGAACTATCGCCGGTCTTCAAGTCCTCCGTATCATTAACGAGCCTACTGCCGCCGCCATCGCCTACGGTCTCAACAAGAAGGGTGGTGAATCCCAAATTATCGTCTACGATCTCGGTGGTGGAACTTTCGATGTCTCTCTCCTTTCTATCGATGATGGTGTCTTTGAGGTCCTGGCTACCGCTGGTGACACCCATCTCGGTGGTGAAGATTTCGACAACCGCGTTATGGAGTACCTCATCAAGCAGTACAAGAAGAAGACTGGCACCGACGTTTCCAAGAACCTCCGCGCCCTCGGTAAACTCAAGCGTGAAGTCGAGAAAGCCAAGCGTACTCTGTCCAGCCAACAGAGCACTCGCATCGAAATCGAGTCGTTCGAAGATGGTAATGACTTCTCCGAGACCCTGACCCGCGCCAAGTTCGAGGAACTCAACATCGACCTCTTCCGCAAGACCATGAAGCCCGTCGAACAGGTTCTCAAGGACGCCAACGTCAAGAAGGAGGATATCAACGAGGTCGTCCTCGTCGGCGGTTCAACACGTATCCCCAAGGTTCAGCAACTCCTCAAGGAGTTCTTCGGTGGCAAGGAGCCCTCCAAGGGAATTAACCCTGATGAGGCCGTTGCCTATGGTGCCGCCGTCCAGGGTGGTATCCTTTCCGGAGCTGAGGGAACCGCTGATGTCGTCCTTGTCGATGTCTGCCCTCTTACCCTCGGTATCGAGACCACTGGTGGAGTCTTCACTAAGCTCATCCCTCGCAACACTGTCATCCCCACCAAGAAGAGCCAGATGTATGTCTTCTTTCATTCTTTAATTTTTTTTTCCTAACCTACTCGTCTTATAGCTTCTCGACTGCCGCTGATAACCAGCCCACCGTCTTGATCCAGGTCTTCGAGGGTGAACGTTCGCTGACCAAGGACAACAACCTCCTCGGCAAGTTCGAGCTCTCTGGTATCCCCCCTGCTCCTCGTGGTGTTCCTCAGATTGAGGTCACCTTCGAGATCGACGCCAACGGTATCATGAAGGTCGGCGCTGCCGATAAGGGAACGTAAGTCGACAGTCTCTTCAGTTCCCTTGTCCAAACACTAAGATAACCGTTCCTCGCAGTGGCAAGTCCGAGTCGATTACCATCACCAACGAGAAGGGTCGTCTCAGCCAGGAGGAAATCGAGCGTATGGTCGCTGAGGCTGAGAAGTTCGCCGCCGAGGATGAGGCTCAGCGCAAGCGCATCGAGGCTCTCAACTCACTCTCGTCCTTCGTCTACGGCCTCAAGACCCAGCTTGGTGACCAGGAGGGTCTCGGTGGCAAGATCTCTGACGAGGACAAGAAGACCATCCTCGCCACCGTCAAGGAGACCGGTGACTGGATCGACGAGAATGGTGCCAGCGCCAGCGTGGAGGACCTTGAGGAGAAGCTCGCGGAGGTGCAGGGTGTTGTCAACCCCATCACGGCCAAGCTCTACGCTAGCGCTGGTGGTGCGAGCAAGGATGATGATGACGATGAGGAGGTTACAAGGAATCACGATGAGCTGTAGAGGGTATTTTTATTGGGTAGGTTATTTGATGGAGGAGCATCGTCGATACCTTGGCCCGGCCTGCGCCCGCCGCCCGCACTGGGTTGAAGGACAGACATACCACATCCAAAATGTTGCAGTAGCCTTTCCTACATACTGAGCGGCTAGATTAGTAGTCGGATGCACATAATTTAACGAACACGCACATTTCATACCCTCGGTTGATGTAAGACTGACGATCGAAGAGCATTTGATGATGCACTGGCGCGTTAGCGTACCTAAGTACAATATGGATCGATTTGCGAACGGCTTGTTTTGCTTGTTTTCTGCCATCATGCCACCTCTCTGTTGGCAAGTGAGCTGCGGCGGGAAACCCGCAGGATGTTGAACACCTAGGTTTTCGTCCGGGGGAGACTTCCGCTTCTACACGACGTCGACGTAGAAAAGTGTAGTCGAGACGGAAGGAAAGTCGGCGTAAATGTGGGAACTCGAGTCCTTGTCAATGGAATAAATTTGACTACATGCATGGCCAGGAACAGGCCGGGAACATACAGATGCCTTCACTACTGTGGGAACCGGCTTTATGGTCGACCATAAAGGCATTGCTGGCTGCACAAACATTATGAGCGACGTTTAGAGTGCCGTAAATAATTAGTAAATCATTACTTTTTACCTGTTAGAATTCCCTTGAAATGGTAAATTTTCTCGCCAGATTTGTGAAAGAATCAAATGCAACCCTTTTGTTGCCCCGTAAATAACAAAAAGAGTTAACAATTAAGCTGATTTTGCGGCAAACATAGTTTCTTCCATAATGGATTCGGGCTTCCCATATATAGTATCCCCGAATCCATTATAGATCCACTTTTGATTACTAAAAAATGAATCTAATTGTTATCCATTATAGGCAACAAAAGTGGATCTATAATGGATTCGGGGATACTATATATGGGAAGCCCGAATCCATTATGGAAGAAACTATGTTTGCCGCAAAATCAGCTTAATTGTTAACTCTTTTTGTTATTTACGGGGCAACAAAAGGGTTGCATTTGATTCTTTCACAAATCTGGCGAGAAAATTTACCATTTCAAGGGAATTCTAACAGGTAAAAAGTAATGATTTACTAATTATTTACGGCACTCTAAACGTCGCTCATAATGTTTGTGCAGCCAGCAACGCCTTTATGGTCGACCATAAAGCCGGTTCCCACAGTAGTGAGCTTAGTACTAACAGAATTTTTGGACCCTATTGAGCACGACTCGTTATATTCTTGATAATGGATCTCCAAGACATTGCCACGAATGCCCCTTCCAAATCTCGCTCCATCCTTTCGGAAATTGCCAGCACAGTTTCTGGGAGTCACGTTCCGGAACGACGAGAAGGTAGTCTTGCGACACTTAGCGGCAACCTTCGACGGCGATGACCAGACATCCTCGCTCAATGACCGGCACAACACTGGCGCCGAGCGACACGCCAGCTATCTTTAGACCCAGCCATGCCTCACCCACATCTACAGGACGTTCGGCACCTCTTCTGCAAACCTTCATCTTCGCCTAATAGGAGCCATGCCGAAAAAGACGAAAAAGCAAGAAAAATCAAGTGTGGTAGGGGCCCTCCTATTTCTCTTCGTGCCGTGCTGATTCCCGCCTACTAGCCTACAACCGCCAAAAAAGTCTTCTCTTCCAGCAAGCAAGTCATTGAAGTGTTGAAATCTGTGGCTGGCCTCGCACCACTCCCATACCTGAAGGATGCTCTCGAGGTCGTTCAACGCGTACTTCAGGCGTGCGAGGTAGCTACGTGAGCCCATGCGTGGTCAATTGACTAACCTCATGCTGCTACGTCTTAGGATGTCACAACTATCGAGCAGCGAGTGAAAGAACTCCAGGATCGTATATGCGATCTTCTGTTTGTTATTCTCGATTCTTCAACAGTTCACAAAGATAGCAAAGATGGAGTGCGCGAGGCTGCTGGAAATATGAAGGAGGATATTGAGCGTCTCAAAAGGTGTGTGAGATCCTTTCAACCTTAGTGACGCAGAACTTGATTTCCCTCAGTAATTTGGAGCAGATTGCTCAAAACCTCAAGGAGATCAAAGTCCAGAAGCGTTGGCAGCTGTTCGTTTTCAAGGACGCAAATCAGTCAAAGCTCGACCAGTGTTTCGCCGACCTCACAGTCGGCTTGGAAAAGTTCAACGTTAGTATTGCCCTTTCGAAATTTGTTGGCATGGATCTTACTAGCAGAGTAGCTCTCAAGCAACCTCCGCAGTTCTCAGACTCTTCAAGAAATACAAGCCCGATTGGACAAGATGCAGGGTGTTGCGGAAGACATCCGCGAAGGGGTTGAAGAGCTAAAAATAGTCGTGGCTCGTCTTGGACAATTAAAAGTCCAGCAGGCAGAAAATGCCTTCAAGCGGCGGCCTATACCGTTGAAGCCTCGGATTTTCTACGGACGCGACGATATGGTCGAGGAAATTATTGGATGGCTTCTGGTCGAGAATACCAACAATGCGCCATATGTTTGCATCTTGGGACCTGGCGGGATGGGAAAGACCTCACTAGCCCTTGCCGTGGCTAATTCTCCCCTCATCGATGCCAAGTTTCACCAGACACGCCGTTTGTGGGTTCCCTGCGTCGAAGCCACGTCATCGAACGCCTTCCTCCAGCTTCTTTATGTGAACTTACGAACTACGAGAGATACGAAGGACGCCCTTGCCGATATCCTCTTCGACCTCAGTTCCAGCGACGAACCTCGACTCATCCTGCTCGACAACTTTGAAACGCCCTGGAACCTCGCAGACGGCTCGCAGACGGAAATTAATGAAATCCTCTGCCGTTTAGCCAACCTCTGCCATGTCGCACTCATTGTGACGATGCGCGGGACGAATCCCCCCTCAGAAGACATTGAGTGGAGGATGGCATACGTTCCACCCACCGATCTCAAGGCCTCGCGCCTCATATGGTCCACAATCAATTCTAACTCCAAGGACAATCCTCAAGATGTCGACCGGCTCATCGAGTCTCTGGGCCAGATGCCTTTTGCAGTGACTTTGATGGCCTCACTCGGGAAGGAATCGAGGTTGCCTGCCTCTCAGCTGTTGACCGAGTGGGCTCGGGCAGGTACTGACATGATTTCAGATTTTGATGTTCCGGAGAAGAGCATGAATCGAAGTACCTTGGGGAACTTGTGAGAAGCGTTAGAGGAACGGGAGAAGGCATTCAAGATCCTCGACCAAGTTGATGACCCTTTGACTTCAATTCGAATCGTTCAAGGGCTCGCAGAAACCCACATGCTTTTGGACCACGACATTCTGGCAATGCAGTACGCAAACCAAGCCTTGTCGATCAGGCAACAGCACTTTGGTCGCACCCCTTCAATGGCTAGCACCTTTGAGATTATGGGCCAGATCTACATTCGACGAGGGGAATTTGAGGACGCACGCGGGGCCTATGAGACCGTGCTTGACCTATGGAGCGGTCTGGATATAGGCGACCCACAGCTGGATGGGAGGATTAACTACTGCAAGAACATTCTGCAATTGCTTGCAGAGAAAGAAGCAAATCCAGACAAAACCATTGGTTTCCCGCGGCTGTCACGTTGGGCATACGCACCAGATGGGCTGAGCATTTTACTATTTCCCCGATCCGATGAAGAAAAAATAGATCTAGAGGCATATACATACCGTCGCACAGGAAGCTGAGGATACATCGTTGCTAAATGCTCCAGATACGGTGAAGCCTGAATCTCCGTTCCACCGATGCTAATCGTAGGGAGCGACGTCGAGAAGACACCCAAAATCGCGGGGCACAGGAGGGCAGGGCTCTGTGGATCTGTTTTTGTTCCCAATAGCTACGTGAACCATGATTCTCTTTCAGTCGAATGCTGGAAGGGGGCGGCTCTCGGCAATCATATTCGCCTTGTACTTATTGACTTTGACATCGCGATTTTTGTTCATGCTTTCGTCTCGATGACGGGCCTCTTCGCCCCAACGTGCAGATAGATCTTGCCTCGCTCCTCCTGTCTAGGCAGTAGGACGGACGACACATACGACCTCGTATATTCCTGCAGAGCAGGCAGCAACGAATACAAAGCAAACCCTACAACTGCGATATGACCGTTATTCTTCCGTGTCCAAATCCGAATCCAAATCCAAATCCAAGCCCGAGTCCGCGTTGCTGGGAGTTTCTAGGTGCAGGCCGGGAGCTACCTTGACCTGATCAACGAAATGCCCGAAGTCAACTTCAAGTATGTAAAATTTGAATTTGTTCATCCGATAGTGTGCAGGAACCTCGCACTGGAAAGTGTGGCCCGCTGGCACGACGAAGACAAACAGACGTTCCTCCACATCCAAGCGCTTTTCTAGGAGCCTGAGATCTAACGTTTTCAAGGTATGGCGAGAAGAGACTGTCATCCAGAAGCCAACACCAACTTCGCCAGAGAAGCGAAGGAACGAATGGAATGTCGAGTTATGTTCCCGTGGAACGTAGTACTTGCTGCTGTCCTCCGTGTCTGCGTACCTAAAAAACGACGGATAGATTTCAAACCCCCTCTTCTGGCCGAGAGATAGGGTGCGCGTGTTCTGCCCTACTACCAAGTTGGATGAATCTTCCATCATTTCTGTGAGGGTCAACGCCAGGTCAGCCTGACATATGCGGTCGTGGCACCAAGCCTCGAAGATCCAGCTACGCATGTCAGGTGCTGATATAAAACCGGCCAGAGACACGAATAGGCGGCGTATTTCTTGTAGACTTGATTCCATGAAGTGTTTATAGAGGAGCTTCCAGATGTAGGGAGAGGCAATAGAATGGGCGATCATATCTTGCGCGAGATAGCGCCGATCTCCTCTTTGCGGCGAGGGTTTGCTCCGTGAGCATTGAATAAGAGTATAGTCTTTGTCGGCGGGTCTCCAGATCAGATTTTCGAGCTGGGACCAGGAGAGGCACCGGAGGGAGGTCTGAATCTCCATTTCCTGTATCGTTGCTCCATCGAAGAAGGTAAAGACCTGTAAGATCGTTCGACTGTCGGTGCCGTACCGCAACATGGCTGCTTCGACCTCTTCTCTGACATGCTCGGGTCTTTCGAGGGACACTCTACAACAACACCGAGTCAGGGAGTCCCAAATGTGCGGCACCGACAAGCTTACAAGGCATGCATGTCGTCAACTGTTAGCGGATCCATTACGAGGGTGATGGCTCGTCTTTGCTTCACCCAGTTTCTGTAGTGGGATGGTTGAGGCCAGGTCGCATGGACGGCAAATAATTCGGAGTGGACCAATCCAGGATCCGGTTCGTTAGATCTCTCGTCCGAATCGACCAGAGCAAGGACACCTCGATATGCTGGATGATCGAAGTATACTCCTAGGTGTGTCCTAGAGCGGATGGTGAAAACACCGTTCGAGTTAACCACAAAGATCGTGCCACGCAAAGCCAAAACGACGCGTTCTTTGTTGACTAGGCAATTTAGAAGCATGAAGATGAGGAAGGCAGTCTTTCCTAGAACATCTGTGTTATTCCAACGTCGAGCAGGGACAGGACCCAATCGTACCGATACCAGGATTTCCGAGCAAAACGACTCCGTCTTCAGCAAACTCTTTTATCGCTATGATGCGCTGAAAGAAATAATCGTACTGGGAGAGGATGATGAAACGCTCGCTGTGGTGCAGGACACGGATGTTGACATCCAGATCGACATAACGGTACGAACAGTCCCCCTGACGCCCGTCGACGATGTTCAAAGACTTTCCCCAGTATCTGTTGTGAAGCAATTGGGTCCAGTGACCGGGAAATATGGGCTCCAATGCATCGTCTGTTGTTCGGGTCATGGTGGTACTTGAAGTGGTTTACCATCGAAGTACTGGGTACATAGTTGTCCGTCTGCCCGGCAAACTCCGAGACACGAAGTGTGCTGACTCCTGAGTGTGAGGGCGGCCCGGGATGACAGAATCCTATCCCCTCTTGGTTGGCGTACGTCCTCCACTTGCAACCCTGCGCAAAATGTGTCCTTGCCTCTCGGATCTTCCCTCTCAGGCGTCCCCCACCCTCGGAGAGCTCATGTCAGCGGGATGCTTCTCCTGGTGTCCATTTCCCAAGGTTCAAGTCAAGCTCTACTCAAAACAAAAATTTGTGCGTAAGAAAAACCAGCAGAAGTAGTTGATCACTCTGTTTTGAACCTATCCTCCTTTCAGTCGAAATCTCCTCAGAGCGTGAGTGCCTACGCCTGGACCTTATCACTGCCAAAATTAACCCTCATATCTGTCTCTCCAGAACACCACCAATACATCGGAGAACAGAGCTGTGCCAACCAGAGCTGAATATCTCGAAGATGGCGCAAAGCAAATAGTCCAAGTTATGGAAGCAGCTGCAGGAGTGATCCCTGTACCGTACATCAGGGATGCGATTAGAGTAGGGCTCAGAGTAATCGAAACCTGTGAGGTGTGTCTTTTTTTCCCGTCGGCTTCATTCTTGGGAATCCCTCACGGTCACACCAGGAAATCACGGCCGTTGAGCAGCAAATCCAACAACTTCAAGATCGTGTCTGCCAGCTCCTGATTGTCATTATCGACTCCGTCACCACTGAGGATGGCGGCTCAGACGGGATGTATAAGGCTGCAAAGGTTATAGAGAGTGAAGTGAAAGTGCTGCACGAGTGGGTCTTCAAACAGGCATGACGCTGCCCTTCATTGAACTCCTCTCTCCTCTTAGCAAACTCGGTGAAATCGTTGATGAGCTCGATGATATCAAGAAACAAAGTCGATGGTTATTGTTTTTCTTCAGGGACCTCAACAAGGCCAGGGTTGACGAGTGTATCAGTCGACTCACGTCCACCTTGGAAAGATTCAATGTGGGCTCAGTTCGCCTTGACTAGACGCATATAACTTGCCCATTCGCAGATTTCCAACGATCTACAGACCATCAATGCCCTAAACAAGATTCAAGCCCGCCTGGAGAAGGTTCATGCACTTACGCAACACGTCTCCGAACAAGTAGGCAACTTGCACGAGAAAGTGGATGTCGGCTTCTCAGTCATTTTAAACACCCTTCGTCATGCCAAGGATCGCCCTGAATCAGGCCTTCTGGCACGCCCGCAAATGCCGATGAAGCCCCGTATCTTTCATGGGCGCGATGAGCTTGTGGGAGAAATTGCTCGCCTTTTGGTTGATGAATCTACCTCAAGGGTGTCCCTTCTTGGTCCTGGAGGGATGGGAAAGACGTCCGTTTCGCTGGCGGTGATGGAGACAGATTTGATCCAACAAACGTTTACTGCCTCAGCCCGTTTTTGGGTTCCATGCATCGAAGCTACATCGCCCGACCTATTCCTTCAGATCCTCCAATCGAGCATGGGTATCCATCGTAGCACTGTCAACCCTCTGGACGACATCATGGTGCGCCTCGGTGGGTCCAAGGAACGACATCTGCTGCTGCTTGACAACTTCGAGACACCATGGAACCTAACGGATGGTTTGCAACGAGAGATCGAAGGCATCCTTTGTCGTCTCGCGTCGTTACGCCACGTCGCCCTCCTCGTCACCATGAGAGGAACGTTTCCGCCTTCCGATGACATCGTCTGGCAAACCAAGAACCTGCCACCCACCAACGAACAAGCGTGTCGCCAGACATTCATCGACATCGACCCACGCGCCAAAGGCGACCCCGACCTCGATAAGCTCCTCAGCACTCTTGGGTATATGCCCTTCGCGGTTACGCTTGTGGCAAAACTTGGGAAGGAGACTCAGGCATCAGCTTCGGACCTGTTAGATGAATGGTCGAGAGCTGGAACGGACATGATTTCGCCGTCGAGTGTACCGGAGAAGAGCATGAACCGGAGCATTAGCCTGTCCGTCGATAGCAGCCTCGTAAAACAGGATCCTGATGCGCTTACAATCCTGGCGACGCTTTCTTTGCTCCCAGCAGGAACGACGAAGGACCGTTTATCGTGGTGGGCACCGCCTCTGAAATCGAAGTTGGCAGCAATCGCAACGCTGTCGAAGGCAGCTCTCATTGTTATTGACGAAGACGACGTGACGGGCTTCCCCACGCTCTTCGTTCTGCCCGTCGTCCAGTCCTTTATGCGCCAGCAGAATCGCATTTCAGATGAGGTCCGCCAGCATGTGCACCAGGCATCCTGCAAATTCGTCCTAGACCATAGCGCCCGCTCTGGTGACGTCAACTTTCGAGAGCATAGTGCCGCACTCGCGGCGGAAGACAGCAATATCCAGTCGATATTCCTGGAATTAGCCCCATTCGATCGCAGAGCGTCGCCCTACGATGACGCTTTCGTGGAGAACACCTTTAAACGGACTGTGACCAATATTCCTTCACTTGAACGACAATTCCCAATTCCCAACTCCGTTCTTGACGCTATGCTCGCATTTAGCTGGTACCGAACCGACACGAAGGCTTGCGTGGAAGTCGCACGACATACGCTGGCAATAGCCAGGGTATCAGAGGACCCGAATTACATTGCCCAAGCCTTGTTTTGCTTGGGATCGACTTATCGGAAACTCGACAAATTCGACCTCGCACACACATACCTCGAAGACGCGTATGTACGTTTTGGCGCACTGGCGATTGATCAAGGCTTGCAACGGCGCCGAGGCGACTGTGGCCTGGTGGTTGTGGATAACATGCGCTGCATGCAGGCCGAAGTCGAAGACGTTCTTCGAATCGAAAAGGAGGTGCACACCATCTTCGAAAACATACCCGACGTCGATGGGGTAGCACGCTCCCTCGTCTCTTTGGGCGAGACGCACTGGTACGCACGAGAGTTAGAGACAGCCTTGAATTATCTTTTGAGTGGGAAGGAAGCATTGGAACGACTCGACAGTCGCAAGGACATGCCCGTCTGTCTCTACAGCATTTCGAAGACCCACTACGCCATGCAAAATTTTGTGGCGGCTCTGGGAGCCATCAAGGAGGCATTAGGACTCGCTAAAGAACTTGTCGACGATGAGTACCTTCTTGCAGATATAACGCAGTTCGTCGCGTTCGTCTACGTTCGGCTGGACCAGGACCCAGACGCCTTGCCATACCTGGAACGGTCTTTGTTGGCCTATCAGTCTCTGGACGCCCCGCTAGGAATTGCTCAGAACTTCGAACATTACGGCTTCATCTATCTTCGTCGAGGAGCTCTCGGGGACGCCTACGCTGCGTACCAGGCGGCTATCGCAAAGTTTTCAACCTTAGATCCAGCAGTTGCACGATCTTACTGCGACCGATGTTCACGAAATTTAGAGGCTATCAAGCTGCAGAAGGAACATCCGGAAACCGTTTTCTTGATTCCGGATGCCTATTCTACGGAGATCGATTTCCCGGTGACTCTCCCAGAGGACCTGGTTGTAAACTACACTGGCGTACTGCCATGAAGTAGGTAAGGCGAAATTGAATGAAGTTCCGACATGCCCATCTTCACTGAACGTTTACCGTCAGAACTGTCTATTGTTCCACAATCAGAGTTCGAAGCCCAGACTCCCACTCCCATAAAACACCGACAGCAGAGGCACCTTGAATATGGCTGCCGTGGCGATACCACGCATCGAATTTCCATAAACGGGATCGCAACAATGATCGTGTGATATCATCATTCTTCTCCACGTTGAATTCAACACCATCGACTGCATCATGGTCGAGGCAAAACTTGTCCTGCACAGGCTCAGAGCCAGAATTCAGAGAAATGGTGGTGCGCACTGCGCAGCGCGATGATCGCGAGGCTTCGTCTGTCCTTTGCAATGGTCTATTTTTATATGGCAGTGGTACTGTGATCGGCATGCCCACCAGGTAAGGGTCCGTTGCAACGTCAGCGATTGAGTCCGTAACCATCCAAGCAACCGTTTCCGATTCCCTTTCGGTAATGAGACTATTAACCAACCATCCCGCTACCCCTCTGACCTTGAGTCTCCTTCCTCTCTTGCGTCCGCCCTCTTCTTCCTGGCTGGGCCGCCTTTCCTTTTCCCCTGCCTTTTGACCTAGGGCATGCCCTACACTTTTTGAATTCCCCACTTTTGTTTAGATCTCAGGCTGGGCCTCACCATCTGCCTGTCGTATTTATTAAAATGTTTAGTCAAGGGAAGCGCCAGTTGTGGAAACGCACTCTTTCACTTGCGAGGGTGAAGCTGCTGGTGAGTTTATTGCCTACCTTCTCCACAGAGTGGCGCTGATTAGCCGTTTGGTGCAGTATACGAGGATCACGTTGACTCGGTTCACCACTCTCTACTTCTTTTTCGCCCTCGCCTCCTGTGCCGTCCTCAGCGCGCTCCAAGCCGTCACATTCGTGGACAACTCCAATGCAGTCGCCGTTCTCAAAACCAAACTTGAAGGGGTAGCCACAGAAGGACTCGCCATTGTTGACAACGACGAATTGCTCGTTTGCACAAGCATTCCGAATCAGGCCGGGACGAACTGCACGCTGTTGTTAACGTTTGGCGAGGATTTGGACAAGAGGGACGGGTTGCTTGCTGATGACTTGGAGGTGCGTGACTAAAGGTAGAGTGGAGGTGCCCCACTCACGCTCCTGTAGGATATTTTGGGCGCCCTCAACTCCGTTGACTTTGGTCAAGACTCTGCGGGTCTCATGGGCAACCCCGTTATCAACACAGTGCCCGACAACATCTCTTTGAGCTTTGAGGACACTTGTTTACCTTCTTTGCAATGGCTCGATGATGTGTTAGTTCAATCCATCCGTTGTGTCCCGTGAGCCGCGCTGAATGATCTATCAAGGATCCATGACGCCCAGCGTGAAGACGTGGTCACATTCCTGTTTCAAATCTGGCTGTTCATTCTCGCGTTGGTTACTGTGCGTTTATCGTCTCCGAAGTCGTGTCCTGTAAGCGCCTGACCACTTCTCAATCCAGATTGTGAATGAGTCTATTCCACATTTGATGGCCGCTGTTGCGGGGCATCTTCTAGGTGCTGGCTGGTCTGCGTATCGAGTCGACTCCACCAGACGGCTCATGAATTTGTACCGAACAAAAATTGTTCCTGAGGCTTGCGGCGGCGAAGATCTCCTGCAGAATTGGTGGGAAATTAGGATTCAGCACGCGGTACGTTGTATTCTAGTTTGACCTCTTCGACGTCTAATATTCTGCCGAAGATCCCAATCCTTGCGGTAAACTGCCTCACGCTTCTGGCTTTCGGATACCTGTCCTTCCAGCTTTTCAAGGTAAGTCCTGATTCATTTAATAAACTTGAGGCAAATTTGGAGCACATCTGGCAGGTTTATGCTACCCAGTCCTTCAGCCGAGTGGGCGCTTCGCCCAAGATACATAGGATGTACAAGTTTGTGTTGCTATTCTCCGTATGCCTGCAGCTTTCCGGCTTCTTTTCCCTTGCATCAACGGCGATGTGGATCGACAAAGTATGCCATGGAATGATCATGGCGCTCGCAAAACACGCCAAGCTGTATTTGGCCGCATTCAGTGTAATTTTAGTGGTGGGTGTTGCCTTCATCACGCATGCCTACAACCTGTTAACGAAGCGACCAGCTTCAACTGCCTTGGTTCATCTTCGTAGGTGGCCGTTGGTTAACCTCAAAAAGAGAAATTTTGAATGCTTCGTGTTGTAGGGCTGGGTCTGCGTCCGGAAAGAGTGCAAGATTCGATTCGCGATATTCTGTGGCATCGCGGTGCTCCTGCTTACTCTCCAGACTATGATGTTCTTCAGTCCCTGTATGTCCCATCGTGTTCTGTTCAGAGATGGTTTTTTGAAAGTTCCCAACAGTGTACCGATACATCTTCCTCACTTGGCCATTCTTTGCCACTATCACTGTGACAGCTTATCTTTTAATCATCGCTACAACTGCCATGGGCATATTATGCCGTCTCAACTTCGACAAGGGGCTCGCGCACTATCGTAAGTAGCACTTTTCTCTAACTGATTGAACCCCACTGATACTATACTCTAGTCCAGGTGACTGAAGCGCTAGATGGTGTCGATTTTACGCCTGTGTACTTCCCCAAAGGTCGAGAGGTGGACCCCGAGAAGGCGACTGCTCTGGAAGCCAAACTATCCGAGAAATCGGATGATGCGCATTTGACGACCATCATCGCCCTGCCGCTAGCAGCTCAGCAAAGCCCCACGGAGAGAAAACAAAGAGGAGAATCCATCTACTCAGAACAGGACGGCACCCCCATATTCCTCTCGTCATCTCCGCCTCTCGTTTCCGACTTAGCCCCAGCACCCAGCTTGCGCTCGTCGCGCTCCTTGCGTTCGACACGTTCTCGCCTGTCGAAGCCGCCCCCGCAGCGGTCGACGTCGTTGAGAAGCGTGAGGATCGAGGAGAAGAAACAGCAGGGCAAGTCGGACTCCGGAGTTCCTGTGGTACCTCCATCGGTCAGGCCAGCTCCGCGTGTCCTGATTGCGCCAGGACGCCGATACCGTGACTCCAAATCGCCGATCAGGCTTTCGCCTGCGTCGCCATCCCCTACGGTCCCTCTTCCTCCTGCGCCATCCCCTCCACCGGGCTACGACGAGACAAGCCCGCAGAGGACTGCCAGATCGACCTCGCCAACGAAACAAGGCCTCCCGACAAATCCTCGGCCTGGAAAGTTTTAGGGTAGCCTGTGTAGGAACCAAGGGTGCAGAGGTGGTTTGTTTCTCAGGAGTGCACTGGTGCTTCCCTTCACTTGACAGATTGTATTTATGACAGTCAGTAGATCTAGACCTGTCCTTTCGTTCATTGTTTCAGTTACCGTAGCTCGAATGCTATCTCCGTTGTTTTTCTTTGTCTGTAGCTTTACTGGTTGTATGTATCAAAGGGCATTAGTGCCTTTATCGCAAATGTCAGGACATCAAATGAATCACTGAAATATCCTCTCTGCTGGTGACCACCAGTACCCCTGACTTCAGTAAGGCTCCTTCAGGCTAGCTTGCGCCTGGAGACCTCTCACGATTGCACTTGCTGTACATTCATTGCTGCCAGTTCTGCAACAGGGTGTGTGTTTGGGCTCAACATAAATTTGTATGTTTACACATTTTCCTTCCAATCAGTGAAAACGACTCGAAAGGTGAACTTGAATTTTAACATGGAAGTGTCAAGAAAGACGGACCCACAAGCGATACAATATAGCACGTACAAATGAAGGTCGAAAACGAATGTCTAAAATCGTCCAGGAGCTTTGCTCGTCGTAGCCGTACTTGAAATGTTGAGCACCCGTCCAGCGGGATTCTCGCGGCCATTTAGAGGGCGCACAGCGCCATCCGAACCTCTCCCCATGCTCTCATCACTATACTCACTATCGCTACTGGCGTCCGTTTCTAGCCGCCGTCTGTTAGGTGCAAGCGTACCCGGAGTCGGCGTTGCAGCTGCCGCTCGCAGTCGGTCATAGTCACGCGCATGTGAGTCTCTTGTGGGCGTCATAGAGTACGTCGACGTGGTGTCGACACTGCCGATGGCGCTCTCTTCGTCACCCTTCATCGTTACCTCCCTGAGAGCACGGTCGTAGTCGCTGTGGTTGTAGTCGCTCTGGCCGACCTTGGACGGCGACTGTGGGATGGGGAAGTTGTTTTGGATCTCCTTGGCGTAGTGCACAGAGCTCCGGATGCTCGCAGAGTCGTGGACGAACTTATCCTGCGCGAAGTTGAGCTTGGCGAGGCTTTCTTCTGCGTGCACTGTGGATGCAACCGACAAAGAAAGAGGGAAACCACGTCAGGGAACCGACGTAGGACAGAGGGACAGGAGGAATCAAACCATGAGGGCTCGAAGGAGACTTACGGTACTGTGCGAGACCCTTGCCAAAGTTCAGTCGGCAGACGACGCCGAGAACCATGCTTGCCAGGAGCAGGGTCAGCGAGGCGGTTGTGAAGCACCCGAGGTATGGCCATTGCATGAAGGACCTGCACAAATGTACGTGTTATGTACTGATGTGACCTTCACTCTCAGAAAGGATATCATAACGCACCAGCGATAGACGATCGAATAGAACATGACTGACCAGCCTGTGATGACGACAAGCCCAATGGCGAGGAAGGCAAGCATCAATTTCTTCATCTCGCGGCGGATGGAGTACCAGCCCTGTAAGAGAAATAAGAAACGAGAAAGACGAAGCAGAAAATCGAGAAAAGGAGACAGATAGATAGATGGCTTACCATGGCGATCCAAGGTAGTAACGCCTGGCAAGGTTCACGAAGTCAGTTGATGCCTTTGATAAACTAGTTCATGAAAGAATACGCACCACAGCAGAGAAGATGAAGCCAGCTTGATATAGCTCTGTGTGCTCTGATATCGGTGCAATGGCCGTGTTGATGAGGATGTCAATCCACAGGCTCATGCCCGTGACGAGCACGAATGCCTCCATTTGCAGGCAGGCGAGGACGGCCATGAAGAACTATTGACGGTGACGTGGACCCATCCATCCAGTAAGCTTACGTTCGGGTGGATTACAGTTTCTTAGGCCACTGACCTTGTTGATCCGTATGATATGGGGCGGGGCACCGACGCACTTGAACGACTGGGCGTTGTACACCTGGAAATCGGAAATTTTGGAAATGCACCATCAGCAGGATGTTGCGACAACAGGATGCCGAGATGTCGAGAATAAAAATAAGGTGTTGATGGTACATACCCGGAGGAGCGTCCACGAGAGATATATGAAGATAAGGAAGGCTGTGGCGCTCAGGACACCATCTGCGATCTATTTGCGGTTTCGATGTATCAGTACTGAGCATTTGTTGTGATCGGGGAGGATGAACGGCGAGGGAGGACGACAAGGAAGGAGGATGGGTAGATGAGCCGACGAGCCGACGAACCTCGAACCCTCTTCTCCTACTCCAGTACTCGTTGAAGACATCGAGCGAACATATCGTCCCAGGGTCCGCGATGAGTTGCTGCCAGTTTGAGCGGAAGGTTGGTCCGCGCCAGATGGCGTAGAGTGCCCACGCAGTCGAGATGAAGCGCGTCATAAGCACAGCCAGCCTTGATTGGTTATAAAAACAGAGGATAGTAAAAGATGGAGGTCAGTCGAATCTGATATAGCGGAAGGCAATGATGATGGTCAGGAAGGCTGTCTACTTACGTATGAGGGACAGAGTCGTTCAGGATGGCCAGGACAGAGATACCGAAGAGCCAGAACTGCAGGCAGATCCAGGCGATGTCCTCGCGCTTGAAGTTGATGAGGCTGAAAAGAGAAACACAAGTGTTAGTCCGACTTGAACAAACGAGGAAGCGAAAGAGTGTACATCTGGGAAGGGTAGAGTAGAATTTTGATACATTGCGCGGCAAGGTCGACACTGGCAGCAGAGTCGTTGCGGACTTTTTCGACACGAATGCCCGTGATGACTGTCTCGTTCTGTGGGTCCTGGCGAAGGATTGTCATGTTCAGGCCTCGTTCCCAGCCGCTGAGATCCTGTGGTAGTCACGTCAGCGATCGCAAAGGCTGTTCAGCGTCATGAACCCACAAATACGCCTCTTGAGATGTCCTAGAGCAGAATGTATGCGCTCAATGCTGAGCTATCTAAGAAACCAAACCACTACGCACTGCTGCAACTCCACCATATTTTGGAGAATCTCTCTTGGAGTCGAATATTGTCATACAAGGATAGGGTGATTGGCCATGGGGGATATCGTTGCACATCCGAAGGTGCAGGTTGCCTGAGGAGCCCTCGAGATATGTCAAATTGGATTTGGGTATTTGGCCTGCGTCGACAAGGCCGTTGACAAGGGTGCTGTACTCCCAATCAAGGGAGAAGAGGAAAGACTGGATCATGCCCTGGACGACGCAGTAGAGGAAACTGAAGACGAAAAAAGAGAGAGTGTAGCGATTCAAGGTAATTCGGGCATACTGAAGAAGGCATGAGCGCAGACATTCAGGAAAAGAAAGGAGGAAAACGCACAGTTGACTTTGCCCAAGCCTTGAGTTTGAAAGACGCCCCGTAGTACATGATGAACCTAATGTCAAGGAGGGGAGATCTCAGGAGTTGGACGAGGGGTATATAAGTAAAGATCTGTCAAAGTGAAGGATCAAAGAACGAAAGATGGCAGAAGTCGAAAGCCTGAGAGTCCAGCTGGGCAAGAAACGAGGCAGAACGGCTCAACCGGTGGTGGGAGGTGATCAGGAAAGTCCGAAGAGTGTCCCTGCAACTCACGACGGCGACGAAGCAGGATTGCTCACGTTCATTTGACTGACTTGTGGCATAGAACAATCAAAGATGCCTTCACGGCATTCTTATCGCCTCTCTCCGCCCATTGGCACGGCCTTTTCGGTGCATCTTGGTTGCTAGGAAGACTGAATGCTCTCTTCGCTGCTCGTAATCGCCGAGAACGGCACAAGTGCAAAGGACGGAATAGGAAGCACAACCGGCGGTGGGTTTGTCGATGTCGTCAGCGGATGATGAGCGCGGTCCGGGATTGTCCGCCGCTCTGCACTCCCCAAGCACTCTCTCCAATGTTTAGACTCCCTGTGCTACCTCGTGTAGCCTGCCATCGCAGCGGCCACCTCTTCCGGTTCATCTATTCGTCACCCCCTACAACCAACAGACACGCTTCCAAGCTCTCAGAGGCTGTGAGAGAGGAAAATAAAGATGTGGCGACCATGGATGCCCTCCTCAAGGCAGTTAGTAAGTCTAGCTCCCTTATCGCGGAGTCCTGGCTACTTTTGAAACATATCTTCCTCCAGGAGAGCGATCTGATCCAACCTATCACAAGTGCGTCCTCTAATCCTACCTGTCACCGCCGGGCTGTACATTGTGCTGAACCTCGTATCTGTATAGTGTCGTTCCCATGCGCTCACCCATTCTGTGGTCAGAGGCGCTGCTGAGTGCGGGTATGAATGGGGGAGAAATACGTCCATCAGAAGCCGCGGCGCCGCCGACGAGTGAGATCCCCCTCACCCCGAGGAACATGGGCGATTCGTACTCAGAGGTAATCCTGCCTTTTGGCTCGTCATCAGAGTTGCTCGAGAAGTATACCAACGCGTCGGGCGGCATCAGGACCGGGAAGTGCGTGTCCTTGTCCAATTTTATTCTTCTCCTTGTATCTTCAGCTTCATTCTGGAGACTGCCAACTTTTGTGATGAGCACGGCTTCATCTCCTTTTCATTCATCTACTGCTTTCATTTAGATTGATGGAGCACCTCGATTCGCTCGCGGGCTCCATAGCGTACAAGCACATGTTGGGACCTACCGTACAATCCCTTGGCCGGCTCGAGGAGCGTGGATTCTACATCGTCACTGCCTCAGTTGACCGGTACGCCACCTATGATCTACTTGATTCCCCTCTTTTCATTACTGAATGTCGAATCATGATGCTGTTAATTACACTGCCAGTCTAGACATGCTCGCACCTTTGAACCCCTCTAGGGACCTGCGTCTGAGCGGCCAGGTTATCTACACAGGGCGTAGCTCCATGGAAGTAGCAGTCAAGATGGAAGCTATAGGCAAAGATCTCCCTGAAGAGACTGTTCTAGTTGGTAAGCTTTTTGGGCTTGGTGGCTTCGCGAGGACCGCTCATCGCTGGCCCCAGGTCGCTTTTCGATGGTCTGCCGAAATGCTGCAACGAATAAAGCGAGAGAGGTCAACCCGTTGATTATCTCGACGCCGCAGGAGAGGGGACTTTATGCGCTCGGAGAACGTACGTCCATGATATACACCCAGTATCGCGCTCTTCCATTCTTACTTATTGGGTGTCGGGGCAGATATGAAGCAACGGCGCCAATCACTCGCCCAGCGCTCCCTCTCGAAAGTGCCTCCGAGCTCGGCAGAAGCGGCAGACCTGCACGCGTTCTACCTCCAACACGGGCAAGGACGTGAGGGGAAAGACGCGAGCGACCATGTCTGGATGGGCGACACGATCCTCGAAAAGTGCCTCCTAATGTTTCCCCAGGAGCGAAAGTGCGTCATTCTTCTGTTCAGCCTCAAGACTCAAATTCAATGCATTAATGGTTTCATCACAATGTAGCGTACACCAGAAGATTTTTGGCGGGTATTTGATGCGTTTGGCATACGAGGTTCGTTTGCGGTGCGATTCTTGCTTGTTTGGTTTACCGAGGAGAAGATTATTCTCATGCTAAATGGATTTTTGTGTAGCTTGGATTCACGAATGCGAGCATGTTCACGCGTGGGCATGTACGATTCCTGTCATCGAACAGCATTTCTTTCGCGCAGCCCGTGCCCATAGGCTCCATCCTACGCCTACGCTCGCAGATCCTGTATACCTCTTCTTCACCAGAATACCCCATCATTGTGGTCGGTACTCTCTCTGCACTTGCACTCGACGCTGCGCTTACTCTTGCTGATGCTTTGATGCTCTTTAGCACGTCGGCGTCAAAGCGAACGTCGTGGATGTCAGGACAGGCACAGAGCAAACGACAAACGACTTTCGTTTCACTTGGTGCCAGGAAAGGGGTAAGGCGAGCCTGGCGCTCCGCCAGGTGGTGCCCAAGACGTACAAAGGCACGTTAAGTCGCATGCCTTGGGTTTATGCTAATTCTGGACTGACAAACGAACTTCTTTCTCGAATTTCCTTTGGTTCTACAGAGGCGATGCTCTGGCTCGAAGGCAAACGCGCACTTGAGCTCGGGGCGGAGATCAGAGGATCTAGGACGGGCACCGTCGCCAATACCACCGCTGATCAGTGCCTTTCACTTTGAATAATTGATGCACAGGTACTACTCTAAACTCGAATGCGATATTTACATAATCTCCGTGCTGGATTGATATTCTCTCTACTAATAGCACTACTATCTAACCCATCCATAGAGTGCGTAGGCACTACTACCGTATGATTTGATATCGTAGTGATTATACTGGCTGACATCTTAGTTTAGATCCTTATTTCATCATGTTACTTCTGGTCATAGCCACTACAGGAATACATTCGATCTTTGATGCCTTTCATTTGCGCTGGCGGATTTAAATATAGTGCATGCTGTTTTTATCTCTACGTACACGCCGAATACTCATGTTGCTGATCATGATTTCGAACTCATTTGATCAGCACAGATGAATGATTGGTTCTTACCATCAAATAGTGGTCGCTGATTTGCAAGACTCAGAGGTGTAACTTTCGAGATGAACTAAGAAAGTTTCACAACCTTCGGGCAACGTTCTGCACGATACCGTAAGACCGAATCAAAAAAGTCCAAATTCCTTACTTACAGGAAGGAGAAATATTACCGTACATGGAACATCAATAGCTACGGAGCGATGGAAAGCGAGAACAAACGTCTTAGAGTAGGGAGAAGAACTAAAGGCCAAAGAGAAGAACGGAATATATAAAGTCCGGTGGTAATTGTTGAGTGTTGAGAGAGCCCAGATGGAGAATTTGCGGACGATGCGTACGATCTGCGTGGGTATGTGATAATTTACAGACATGAAAGAGGCGTCGCGTCGAGGCCGAGCCCAAATTCGTTCGTTCGTGTGTTCGTTAATTCCTTCGTGGTCATAAGGCGTGATTTGGGATATGATCCAAACAAAAAGTCGAGGTGGCCGCTAATGGTGGTGTAGAAAAGCCGATTGTAGTGGACGAGATTACCGCCTGACTGGCGTGGCAGACGTAGCCTTCATTTCTTCGTGTACGAGGGCAGCGCTATGCTTTACTTTGGAGAGGGGCGAGACGGCACTGAGGGGCGACTGGGAGGCACCAGGACGGGCAGGACGGAGACCGCAATCGCGAGGCGCGAGCTCTCCACACTTGACATGTGTCCTAAAAGAGAATTACTTGTTAATCGCGGTTGAAGTGCATATATGCGCAGGAAAGACGTACCTCAGACCACAATCATCACATTCCAACACGGGCTTCCACCCAATTCGCTTATTACACAGATCGCATTTGCCCACAAGGAGCCCGCTGGAGAAGAGCATCTCGAGCGGGTTCCAGCCGGCGTTTTCCACTCGTTCTGACCCCGGCCCACGGTGGGGCGACACCGACCCGCTGCTCCGTTTCTGCTTGCCTGGCTTCAGGAGCGTGAACCGGTGCACGAGTGGCGCGACAAAGTTGCCGTGAAGGGAGCGGATCGTCGACCCGCCCTCTGTGGCGAAAGCGCTGGAGATGGTCGATGGCGTTGCTACTGTGTGGTACGAATCTAAAGTGGCGATAGACATGATCGAGTCAGTGCCGAGGGGGTCGATATATGAGGCGGCACGCCCGTTGATTGTGGAGGGGCGAGGAGAAGGGGAGCCTGAGGGAGGCGTTGCTGGGAGGATGGGATCTGGAGTTTGATTCGGGTCAGGCGAGGGTCTGATCGTTAGGACGGAAGAGAAAGACGGAGGAGGGCCTTGTTGCGACTTGACCACGGTTGTGCTGTATTCAGTCCCTTCGCGGTTGAGTAACGGCTCTTTACCTGAAATCTATTGTCAAAGACGCGAAATAATGAAATCTCATTCACTTACTCATTGACGACGATTCACTCCAGCTGCTATTGAGATCGACTCCATTCAAGCCCATGACAGCCTCCATAAGCTCCTCGTCGCTCTCGTCGGTGCTCGTCCCGCTCCGGATATCCTTGCCGACGCCTACGCCAAAGCTGGGAATACGAGGGGCTCCTGTGGGTCGCTTACCACCCGTCATAAACCTCACACTGCCCAAATGCATGTCGGTTCCTTCATCTGGGCGGGAGAGAACCTCGGCTTCGATAGCCCTCAGTCGATCAAGAATGTCGCGCGTCGTAGGTCGGTCCTTCGGATCTGTCGCGCAACAGTCGATGCAGAGCTGGTAGAAATCCTCCGGGTATCCTGCGCTCATGAGTTTCTTCACCTCGCCGGCATCGATGCCGAACGTCGGTGGGTGCCGCTTAAAGTGGTGGTCGTCCGCCAGCTTGCGAGCACCAATTTCGCAGAAGATGATGCCCAGTGAGAAGATGTCGGTGGACAAATCGAACTCATCGCCTAAAAGGATTTCAGGGGACATATAGGAGTCCGTGCCGCAGAATGTCAGTCGTTTCGATTCTTCCTCATTCCGGGCAGCGATGCGGGCGAACCCAAAATCGGTAATCTTGAGACGGCCGTTGGATGTCACCAGAAGGTTCTCGCCCTTGAGATCGCGGTGGATACATCTTCGTGCATGCAGATAGGCCAAAGCCCGCGCGACGTCGGTGGCGAAGGAGAGACGGAGTCGCCATGGGAAGGGCTTGCTCTTGTCGTGAATATATATGCGTACATTCCCGTTCTCAATGAACTCTGAGATGATGAAGATTCGGTTATCAGGGGCGGGTGCGCGACTAAGACCAATGAAGAGACAAATGTTGGGGTGCCGACATTCTTTCATGAGGCGCCATTCACGCTCAAAGTATTTGGCGACGTCGTATTCGGTAGAGGGGAGAACTTCCTTGATGGCAACATCGATACCAAGGTAAGTCCCTATGACATAGTGAGTTTGGCAGAGTATGGAGAACCGGCGGGTACGCACCTTTGTAGACATTACCGAAGGAGCCTGAGCCCAGCTTTTTCCAATCGCCTTTAATGTCCTGCAGCAGGCTACGTCAACGATTTATCCCGAAGGACTGTTGGAGAGAAAGGCAGTGAATGGTGCTCAAGCGTCCCCTCATGAAAACAATGATTCTTCCACAATTGTAGCGAAGAAGATATGCATGGAAATAGCCTTGAAGAATTCTTGAACAGCTACAGGATGAAATACTCACATCGTATGGTATCACATCGAATGCATCGGAATGCATCTCGCTCTAAAACTACCAGAGAGAAAGGGGGTATCCTGAAGCCAAAAGGGGTCACAAATGGGAAAGATCCAGTTACGGAGCTGCTCGCTGTTGCACGACCTAGGTTTCGCGGGTGTCGGCGGCGTGGTGGACAGCAACGCAATGGGTTGAACAAGAGAGATGGGCCTAGGATGAGCGGACCTCGAGCGGAACAAGCAGTGGAGGTCCGCTGCTGACTCAGCGTCTGTCACCTTGGCTCGGGTGCCGCAGCGTCAACATTCAACTTTCAAGGAACGTTGCCTCAGACACACGTCACTGCAAGCCAACAGGGGCATGAAAAGTACACATAAAGGTGGGATTGAGAGGACAACCAAAAGATCGGTGATTAGAGAAGGAACATGACAAGGTTTGCGACAATCATAGGGGGATCTTATCTTATCATATGTGGTATGCAACAGCCGAAACCTGCTAGAGTTTAAGCATTTACCTTTTTACTGCTGATGCAGATGATCCAGCGTGTAGGTACTTGGATGACAGCAGAATCATGATTGATATTACAGTGGTTATCTAGCATATGGATGGAACCCATGTTGACCCCGATGACTTGCACGACTGGGTCCAACGCCCGAAGTCCCCACCATCCGTCCCATGTTAGTGGTCGAATTAGCAACAGGCTGAAAGCGGCCCATTCCACCTGTTCTGATGTTTCCCATTTGCGGCGTGTTTCGAAGCATAGCTGATGCAGCGACAGGCCCAACCCCAAGGCGCATTGGTCCCATGTTACCCATCCCATTGGCCACACCATCCAGGGTAGCTCCAGGAAGATTCATCATACCTGGGATTCCACCAACCATGTTGAAGGCATTCATACCCATGCCCATCATCGGGTTCATGCCCATCATCCCGAACGGCATCTGTGACATAGGATAGAACATTTGCATCGGATTTGGTTGGTTTGAAGGCATGAAGTTCATCGAGGTGCCTATAGTTGATCCTCGTTGATCGAAGTTGTCGGCTTGAGAACTCGAATTGGAAGGCGAGTTGGAATGCGAGCTGCTTGATGTCCGTTGCTGGTCTCGCTGGGAGCGCGGCTGAGCAGCCTTGACTTCGATCTGCTCGAGAGTTAGAGATTGGGGTGCCAGACAAGCCTTAGACGCAGTCACCTGCTTATCGTCGAGGATGAGACCCAGTTTGCCAACAAGAAGATCAGCGTTATTTGCGTCCTCGAATGTCACGAATCCGAAACCTTTCGAGCGGCCGGACTCCCTGTCAAGCATGACAGTTGCATCCACGACTTTACCATAGGCGCCGAAGAACTGGCGCATTGACTCTGGGGTTGTGTCGGGTGACAGACCTCCAACAAAATATCGCGTATTTCGTAGATGTTCCTCCCTAGGAATAGCACGTTTTGGGTCAATCTAGAAGAACACGCTCGTGAGCTCACTTCAAGAGCCAAGCGACATCCCTAGAATACTCACTGCCTTGCCGTCCAAAGAGTGTTCTTGCCCCAGGACGGCATTAACCGAGTTCGCGTCTTCAAATGTCAAGAAAGCGAAGCCACGCGACGTTCCTGTAGGGTCTCGCATTATAGTAACTGCATCAACCTTCCCATGTATGAGCTGGTTCAAGTCTTGAAACTCCGGGCTGCAGAACAATCACCTTTCCAAATTGCGAGAAGTAGTCTCTTAGACCCTCTACGTGGAGAGGAGGACATATCATTGGAAAGAATGTGTGTGATTAGCGGTATAGAAAGGAATAGTAGCAAGGAGCGTATACCATCTGTCGTAGCCCAGCTGAGACCGCCGATAAACATTTTGCTAGTAGTCGAAGTGGTGCAGTAAAAGACGGTGATCGTAAACGGTAAACGTAGGAGGTATTCAGAGATGTAGGTGCATCCGTATGTTCATAGTTGTATGAGGGGTTGGTAACAAAATTAGTATCCGCAAATGGTAGGCAGCATTTGTAGAGAGGGGAAGAGGAGCAAATATGCATAATACAAGGATATGGCTCGCATGTCCAAGGCAAGTATGAAGTACGGAGCACAACTGACAGGCAGATGTCATAAGAGCAGGCGCGGTGTTCACACCAACGCGTCGGAAGACACGAAATCCAGGAGCGAAAGAACGCGAAGACTCACCCATGATCATGCATCTCCGATGGTTTCTTCCCAAATACCGTCTCGGAAGACACCCCAGAACCAGAAGTGGCCTTATCAGTAGACGTGAACGTGGGGATGCTCGCCGGCCGAGCAGCAGCGGCCATCGTAGGGTTCCGGGGGAACTCCGTGCGCTGCTGGCGCTCCTGGCTGGGAGTTTGCTGATAAGCTGAAAACTGTTTTGCAACTTGCGCCGAGTACGACAAGCCTGCTGACAAGGCTGAGGGTTTGGAAGGAAGAGAGTTGTGAGCGTCGCTAAATGCAGAGGCTCCTGGTTTGGCGACAGATGAGAATGCCGATTCGTCGAGCTCAGCCGGGCCTGTGATGATCTCTATCTCCTCTTCGAGGTCTTGTTCTTGCGTTGGTGCGTCCTGGAGATCAGCAAATCCATCCTCCTCGTCACCATAGATATCTGCAAGAAAGGGGGTGAATAGACGTCTTCAGTTAGGGTGAGTCCTCGCACATACCACCGTACAAATCCGAATCTAGAGAAGGCTTAGACATGTTGGAAGAATATTCTGAGGGGTTTTTGAAGCGCGCAAGTCAGTATGAAGAGGACCGGGAGTGAAAGCAGTTTGAACGCGTGACATGACCAACAACGTCTTACGTGACACCATTATCCAACTCAGTGTAGGTAAAAATTTGGTGAAAAAAGCAGCTTGCGAAGGAAATAGTAATAGCTAAAACAGCGTGATATCCAATGTTGATAGGTATATGTGCGTAGAGTCCAACCATGTACATGATCCATACGTTATAACCGCGATAACTCAGTGGCGAAGCAGAAAGGTCGATGGTTAGATGACTTAGCGTACCTGAAGCTGACGGACTCATAAACGACTGAAAGACAAGCAGTAACCGCTAATGCACCCCATTAGCCGCCCGCAGCTCGTGAATCTCTCCTTCTAGTCTCTGGCGTGTCCTCTCCGCCACAGCGTCGTACACGAATTGTGTTGGGGGGCGGCGCCAGCGGGTGTCCGTCTCGTCCTCGAAGTCCGGTTCGCCTTTCGTATCGTTCGCCAAGAACGAGTTATCTTTCGAGTAGTAGATATCGTCTGGATCGAACGGCGCTACACGAATAAACTCTGATTATTTCCATTTCTTCAAAGAAAGCAAGGCAAAAAGGGGAAAACGTACGGTCTGACACAGCCTCCGGCTCGACGACTTTCCTCTTGCCCAGCGCCTTCGCACTGGGTTTAATGGGCGTATAGTCGTAGTTGTCTTCCTCTTCTCTAGATCCTCCGACCCCATTTAGCGACCGGACGTCCTCGTCGTATGCGTACCCATCATGCCCATGGCCATTAGCCTGGGGTTCCAACTTGGGCGTACCAGGTGAGGGCGTTCTCGAGTGCGACACCTGCACTGGGGATCGCGGGCCATGCGGTGCGGCTGGAGGCGGCGCGAGGTTCTGGCCAATGAGGGTGGGGTCAATATCTGACTCTGATCCAAGGGGCAGGTGGTGTGGCCGTGGGCGAGGGTGAGTGAGAGAAGGCTGTGGTGAATGCGAGCGGGAGATGGGCGACGGACTCCGGGAGGAGCCGCCAGCTGCAGTGGTAGCAGAGGGAAAGTCTTCGGAAATGCCCTCCTGATCGAGTTGCTACAGAACTTGTCAACACCCATCTCAGCAGCACCGGGAGTGGATGACTTACGCGTCTATCCATCCTCGTCTCTTTTCGACTGCGGTCCTCCGCCTTCTTCTCCATAGCGATACGATCAAGGTCTTCCCACTGCTTCAGCGCCTCGAGCAGCTCTGCATTCGCAGCCAGCAGCGCCGCGAGCAGCCTCTCCTCTATCGTCAGCTCTATCGGTGAATCCGGCTCTGAGACAGCCAGGTGAATATCGTTCGAGATCGTCCGCTTTCTGGCTGGATTCCGCTCGTTCCTCTCCTGATCCTTGACGGCACGGGAACGTTCGGCACCAGCAGAGGCCCAAGGTATTTGAGCGAAGATTAGTTCCTGCGAAGCGCGGCACTTTGCATGGAATTCCTGAAAGAAATGGACCTTTCAGATATATTCGAGACCAAAAGCCAGCAGATAGTGACTGACCTTGATGATTTCTTTCTTTTTCAGATCCTCCGGTCGCGATAGGGCCAGAGCCTGTGAAAGTAGGGCAGCATTGCCTTGCCCGATCTTACACTCCTGGAAGAGGCGGCGCATATCCTCCTCGAGTGGTATGATCCGGTTCCGTGTTGGCGATTTACGCTTTTTGACCGTTTGCTATTCGTAGGTATGGCATTAGAGCACAGGAGACCGCACATGTACACTGTCCACTCACAGGGGTAGGGGTTGGAGGGAACGAATCGGCGGGTAGGGGACTCGGCTCCTGATACGAGACGACAGGGACATCGAAGCCAGACACACGGCCTGAGGCCGGGGGGTGAAACATGGCGTCGTCGGTGTCGAAGGGAACACCCTGCTCATTATCAGCACTTCGGCGGGGCTGAGTGCATACAACTAGCTCACCTCCTCCGGTTTATCGAAAGGTTTTACTCTCCTCCAAAGCCCTTTAAATCCCTCTCGTTCATGCTTGCTGTCCTTCTCTGCTACAAGTGTCAGGGAGAGGCCACGACGTATGCGTTAGAACGTACTGGTTCCGCTAGCATAAGCAGCAGCAGCGACAACCTCGAGGAGACGTTCTCGGACAACAGGTGATGTTCTGGACGAGGAGAGTAGATCTTCTAGGGTATCGAGAAACTTGCGAGACGTCGATTGAGAAATAAACACATCTGATGAATTTCGCAACATGATTGCCCATAGCTGCAGAAATCTGGTCAAAACTCGGTGGCTAGCTTTCTGGAGTAGACGTACCCGAGCAGCGGATAGTTGAGCGGCGGGTTCTCCGTACCTAGTAAAACCATCGGCGAAGGTACACGAAGACGATGGAATTGTACGCACTTGAATTCACGCCGAAGAGCACGGACAGCCTCTTTGGCGTTTGCCTCATTCGCAGACGCCCGTTCACAGACCTCCAGGACAAGAGACCAATCCTCCGACGCCGTCGCAGTTAGATAGCCTGCGGAACGAATAACGATGACTGGAAGGGAAAGATCGACATGGCCACATACCGATCATCCTGGTGAGCTCGGCGTGGCCCTCGTCCTCTCGACGATACTCTCTGCCGCGATGGTCACCATGTGGTCTCTCCCGCTCCCGTTCGCGCTCCTTGTGCATCTGCTCTCGCTCTCTCTGCGCGTCTCTTTCTCTCTCCCGCTCCCGTTCTCTCTCCCTTTCTCGTTCTCTCTCCTTCTCCTTGTCTTTGTCCCTGCCCCAAAAGCCGCGCTTCTCCTTCTTCTCGACAGACTCGCGTCCTGGATGCGGGTGTCCGTTTTCAGAGATCGAGTACCGCTCTTCCGATTGCGATCTCGTAGGCATCATGACGGGCACCTCGGCGCGAGGCGGGTCCAGCGCTCGCAGGATGCCCAGGGCGACGGGTGCCGTGGGCTGTGCTTTCTTCCGGTTCGCATTCGCATGCAGATACGCGTCCCGTTGGGGATCGTGCTGGCGCACAAGCTTGTTGGGATTCGACATGGTTGAAACCGAGCCCATAGGAGACGCTGATCTTGGAGGAACGGGGCTGCCGAGTGGAGGCGAAGTGTTGGGTGGCAGTGAATTGAAAGACGACGACCGCGAAGGGGTATGGATGAGTGGAGGTGAGTGCGGATTGGGAAAGTGAGTGGTGTCTTGCTGGGAGGGCAGGATCTCCCAGTGCTCGTCTGCTGATGGGGGCGGAGCGGGCTGTTGAAGTTGCTGGGGCAGTTGAGCTATGGGGGCCTGGATGATGTGGTTTCCATGTGTCGCGAGTTTCTGGTACACAGGTGTGGAGAGAACGGGTTTTGGTGGCGGTTGGGATTCCTACCGCGCAGTATACGCGATTGAGTACGCTGTGCATCGTTGCTGGGAATACACTTACCTCTGTAGCAAAGTCTCTGGAGCCTGAGGCGGTCTTGCCCGACTTTGGCTTGTGGCCAAATAGTTTCTTCATAGTTCTGGACGAGAAACAAGGAGAACGGCTAAGCTATGCACAGCGAAACTACAAGGAGAGGCTGTGTACAGTAACAGTCACATGCTCAAGTATCAGATAAGATTCTCGACACCAGACCCTCAAACGCTGCCGCCGTGAACTCGAATGTCTGCACATACGCCGTCCAGCCCTCATACTCGCTACGCACATCTGCAAGGTCGTATGGCCCGCAGCTCGAAACCAGCACTAGCGGAACGCTCGGACTCAAGTGTTCCAGATACTCGAGCTGCCACCGTCGAAGATCTCCATTCCTCATCACGAAAACAACTCCTCCAACGCTGTCCAGCGTCGGGACCGCATCATTCTCTCCATAGACGACATGCGTGGTCTTCACTCTTTCCTCAAACATCTTTGCCAGCGCCAAATACGAAGGGCCCGCAGTGTTCCGCACCACACCATTCGGCCCTCTCAAAATCCCGTCGCCTGAATCAACCGCCCTGTTTACCGACTCCATCGCAGGTGTCAGCAACAGTAGCCGTTGATCGAGCATCTTCAACGGCAAAACATTTCCTGCATTCCATACCACCGTCGTGCTCTTTGAATACGCGTTGCGGGCGAGTTCCAGGTGGCTTGCGTGGATGTCGGAGTACGTGGCCTCTTCATCCCATCCTGCCGTAAACGCGTCCTTCATCGCGGCAATTCTTACCCCACTTTCCTTCAGTGCTTCCAGTTGAACCTCACCCTGCTCAAGCGCCCTATACACCCTCTCGACCGCACCTTTCTGCTTCTCGAATGTATGACAGATCATCGCGATGTCCGCCCTGGCCTTCAGAGCTCTCAGCGCACCTTCTTCAACTCCGCATCCGCCCTGCTCGGGCTCAGCGATGGCGTCCATTTCCAGGCAATCCGTGACCACTACTCCGCTGAATCTCAGCTCCTCTCTCAGAAGTGACGCCGTGATATCTTTTGACAGAGAACATGGTGTATCATTGCCTGTTATCAACGGGAGCGCCATGTGTCCAGTCATGACACAGGGAACCTCAGCGTCGATCAGCGCCTTGAAGGGCACGAGTTCTTCCTGGGCGAGCTGAGCTTTTGTCTTTGCAATCACTGGCAGGGAAAGATGCGAGTCAACGTGTGTATCGCCGTGCCCGGGGAAATGCTTCGCGGTGGGCGCTACTCGTTCTGAGACGATTCCTCGGGCGGCCCCAGATGCAAACTCTGCAACTTTCTTTGGATCTATGAGGTACGTCAGTTCAAATGCTGTAATTCCGTGGAAGAAACTGACCATCGCCGAAAGATCGTACACCTACAGGAGAATGATATATCAAAATCTGGTTTCTCCCATCGTCCTTTACGAATTCAGACTTACCAATGACAGCATTCCTTGAATCCGTGTTCACATCCGCGACGGGGCTATAGACCCAGTTTATCCCGACCATCTTCAGTTCCCTTGCCGACGCTGCTGATACCCTCTCTGTCAAGTCCACCGAGTCCGTGGCAGCGAGTGCCATCGCTCCTGGACTACGAGTGACAAAACTCGTCAGGCATCCTTGAAACAAATACAGGAGGCGCATACAACTGGGTCCCAGCACTGGGAGAGCTGAACGCCGACACCAGACCTTGTAGAAATAGATAGCATGATCACATGTATGCACGTATGAAGTAAGGTAATCCATGAACGCACCGTTCTCCTGATCAATGCCCACAAGCAGCGGCCTCTCGTGTCCTGCGGCCTTTGCGAGCTGCTGGAGAGTGCGGATGAGCTCTTGAGTCTGTTTCGTGCCTACATATACAACCCGTCGTGCATCGTGGTTGGTAGTTATTCACAAGCAATGAAGAGTAAGAAGACATGCGCACTTTGAACATTCCGCCTCATCAAGATAACATTACCAACAAGATACTTTGCGATCAGCGTCTTGATGTTCTCATCCACTTCAAACCCATGGAACCCCACCACAAAATGCTACACTTTGCCAACACCCACATTCAAGCTCAATCAACAGTCTGAGCTCTCAAAAGGGATTGAGAAAGACTCATTGTACCTGTCCAACTTCCCGTCTCACAGCCTCACTTTGCCCACTAGTTGCCATCTTGCAGGTAATGAGACTTGAGGACCTGTAACAGAGCTGCTGCTGCTATGGCAATGCTGGAACTTGAAGCTGCTGAAGAGGGTGGGATGAGAGGGGAAGTGGTCCGAGGTCATGTAGCAGTCCGGTCCGGGAAGAATGAGTGTGACCTAGAATAGTGTGATGTCTGTGACTGCAGTGGCTGGTAGGTGACAGCAGAGGAGAGATGGCACACGGAGGAACTCAAAAGAATGGGGTTAAACTGATATGAATTCACTGGGGACTAGCTATGCAGGATCTACCTTTATATACACAAGGGTGTGTAGCACTCCGTAGTTGGGGACCATCTCAGTAGATAAGAAGATGCATTACAGTACTATGGTGCATTATGCAGCACTATATAATGCACCATAACACAGTGTAACACTAAAATTGAGGTCGTTTTGACCCTCAAAATCAGGATTTGCTGATGTAGATAAGAAAAATGATAAGATGATGAAAAGGAAGAATACCAAACTGTTACACCCACCCTCCAGGCATTGCAGTGTATTGTCTTCACACCTGAGTTGACCATATTGGTTTGCTGGCCTGGCTTGGCCTGAAAACTGCAGCTTAGGCCCAGCTTTAAGAGGCTCAGGCTCATGATTTTGGAAGCCTGAGCTTTTGCCTACAGCTTCCCACAGCATAGGCTCAGCTCCAGCCTGGGCCACGGCTCACTGACTTACTAGCAAGTGACCCGTGCTTCGCATGTGGGTCTCATAGCAATTCAGTGTTAGATTATTTCTGAATATAAAGTAGAACTGGAAAAAATCCTCCATAGAATTGCCAGTTCTGGTACAGGCCCACTGGCTGGTAATCAAAGTGGTCATTCTCCTGCTAGAGGGTGTCCTGACCTTTTTTACCACCCATTCAACTGAGTAGCTGCACTGCCCAGCATGTCACAGTTGTGCGAGTTAGTGCAGAGTGAAACCATATTTCTTGAAATTATGAGAATTGTCCCACCGCTTGTCGCCAACCTGCAGTTGGCTCCTCATGGCATCCCGTGGCAAATACCCTCCTTGCTTCTCACAATCAGTGCCATTTTTGCTGATCAAGCTCAATCTCTCCTCCAAGCACCTGCATAAATCATTTGAACCATAAAATATGTAGTTCAATTCGACTCGAAGTCTCTTTTTGGATACTGTGAATAGGGGCATTACCATATTTGTGATGTGTCAAAGAAATAGCCCTCCAGAACACTTCAAAACCAGTGGCTTCCTTAGCACCTAGTGCCCGTTAACACAGTCCAATGTAGAGTGACACCTTCCAGTTGCATATCACCCAGGATATCCAGGATGCTGCACATCCCATCACCAGTTGCATATATCAGCCAATCAGAGCGCGTCTTTGTCTCTTACTTGTCCCTGTGAGAAAAAACAGCTCACTTTTATTATATTTGATCTGCAGTAATGTGAACTTGGCCAATTTTAGTGTGGTAGGTGCTCACTAATAGCTTTGAATATCTGATGTACGGCTTGTCATTGAGTCAATGTGCCAATGATGAGTGGAGATCCCTGTGATAGGTGAACCACTTTGGGGAGATGCTGATGTAATAATTCAGGGACTTTATGCTGCAATCAGTGTGTTTGTTGACACTAATCATTGGCTAATTGGGTTGAAATGGGATGGCAAATGGTCCAGTCACAGAAGAGTGGATAAAAATGGGGGCCCCCATAACAATTCATGTAGAAAATGGGTGGTGGCCTGGCACCAATGGCCTCAGGCTTCAGAATTTCGAAGCCTGAGCCATGGGCTGTCCAAAGCTGTATCCATGGCCCAGGCTTGGCCTGGCTTTTGGAGGCCAGCTTCAGCTGGCTTTTGGAGGCCAGCTTCAGCTGGCTTATGGCCTCTGAGCTGGGCCTGCAAATCACTAGTTGGCCATAGTGATGCATAATTTACTGTACTTACCAGCTATGTTAGCTAGAATTATATATCAAACCCTGTGTTTAGCCAGTGTGAGCTCATAACACAGTGGGGCTTAGGGATTGGCATGGGTAACCCTGGGGTATTCCAGGGCTACCTGTACCCTTATCCCAGCAAACCCACACCTGCCTCAATGGATAGGGGTTTCAACAGGTCAGGATAAGGGTTTCAAGAGGGCTTGCAGGTTCAAAAATCTACATGGCAGGTATGACATTGACAAGAGCCTGTTGCATTGCAGAAACAGCACACACTGTTGAATGATATGGGATTGTACTCTGTGATGGTAGGGCTCTTCATCATTTTTGTGCCCTTCATCATGCTATTGGTGCTCATCATGGTTCCTATACACATCATTGTACTCATCATTGTGCTGTGCTCATTGATGTACTCATGCTCAATGTGCTGGTTACCACAATCGTGCAGTGCCCTTTGTTGTGCTGTCAGTGCTCATTATTGTTCCTGTGCCTGTTGATGTCTGGCACCATGCTCAACCTTGCTGCCTGCTTGGGGATGCTCGATCTTGTCATCTCCTACTTGCCTATCAAGTAGAAGACAAGGCACAGGTGCCAGTCGCACATGTGCCAGCTGGTTCTCATGGTCTTCATTCTTGCCCCCTTCAACCTCTGCTCATCCCTCAGCTCCCTCCACTTGTCCTTGAGACCTATCAGCCCTCTTCAGATTCTCATTGAGGCTGTTCAGGTCCTTCTTGAGTTGTTCTGCTGCTCATGAAGACTATTAGGTTCCTCCATGGGCCCCCCACTCCTCATTAGAGGGTCACAAAAGAGCAATGGCAAGACAGAGTAGTCAGAGGTGAAGGCAAAGGCAAGACAGCAAGAGTGAAATGGGCAATGGCAAGAGTTGAGGGCTAGAGTGAAGCAGAGAGGCAAAGGAGCAGGGAGAAAAGGCTGAGGAACAAGGCTAAGGATGAAGGCACAAGGACAAGAGCAGGACAAGGTGAAGGGGCAGGTGGAAGGAGATGTGGCCATTTTCAATGTGGGTGGGTTCACTTAAGGGCAGAAGTAGTTGTAGAAATAAAAACAAAAAACATTTGAAATACTTTGTTTTGGATTTCTGGGCTGGTTCATGATGGGAGATAAGTGAGTGTGGACTTGCCTTGCCAGTGCCTCTTGTGCAATGGAAGGTTGAGGTGAAAGTCATGTCATTGCTGGCATAGTTAATCACAGTGAAACCATATTCTCATGGCCAGATGTGGACCCAGGAAACCAGTCTCTAATAGAAGTATAAACAACCTTTATACAAGAATGCTGCAGCAAAATGCCAATTTTGGGTGAAGCACTTCAGTGACCCCCTAGGTACTTACTCTTCACCTGATACATTTTGGGGTTTTTTTCAGGTGAAGGGTACCCCTCTAAGAATACTGTTGATGACCCTGAATTTGGCACTTTCAAAAGTCGAGTCAATTTTCTTCAGTGAGATGACTTCCTATGCCACAAAAGTGGTACTATATTACAGAAATATGTCTTTAGTTTCTAATTATGAAGTTTCATGATTTTTAGAAACACCTGGGAGTTGTAGTGAATTTTACGAGAGGGTGGTGTCAAATTTTGGTGTTTATACCAAGTTTGGCCACTCCTGAAATTGTGCCAAATTGGGTTGATGGCCGGCTGAGATAAGATGGCCAACAAGTGCCTCAAGAGCTCCTCCCTCTCTCATTCGAGCTACACAAGTCCCTTTGCCACAAAAATACATGTTGTTTATACTTTACCATCTGGAGTATAATGAGAGATTATAAATCCCAAGGTGTCATGTTATTTGGCAAAAATTCTGTTTTGGTTATTCAATGGGTCAAAATATGCTCATTTAACACTTACCCCTGCAGCAGGGTATTTGGAAAATTCTAAAAATTCAGACAGGCATAACATCGATTCATTAGCATACACATTATATATTACAACTTGTTTTGTGTCCATCTGTCAAATACATCATTCCTGGCACAGACTACAACTTGGATTGTTTCCAGGACATAATAAATTAAGAGCACAATTTGGGAGTGCATTTACAGAAGACAATGTCCATAGTGTGACAAGACAGTATTATATTCTAGTTTCTCACACCTTAAAGCATACACCATATTTTGTCCCACACAGAGAAGGGCTGACCTGAGCGAGAGGTGCAGGTCAGAATTGGTGGCAAGACCGTTTTGGCTTATGAAATCTCAGCCATCACTCCTGCTGGCGTTGGTGCAGTTCTCCTAGAGCATACGCACAATAGTTATCTGCAAAAAGAATGACAGAAATTGTGCATGCAATCGTGGAATTATGCAAACGGCCAACTACCAGGGATGGCCAAACTCAGGGTCATCAACAGTATATTCTGGGAATGTTCTGGAGAGAATGTTTTTCAGTGGCTGGAAGTTTTTGCCTATAGGACTTTATCCTGTTCCATGAACAAAGTTAGACAGCCTGTTTGTTCTTTATTCTGGACATTTGTTTTGTTTTCTCCAGAACATTCTACTGTTACCTGAGGTGCCAGGGGTCCCAATCTTGGAAGAGGGCTAGGGCTGCATCCAGGGCACTCCAGATCATGGTTCATATAGTGCTAGGACTGCATAGGCAAGAGCATCGCCACTGGCAGGATATTAGCTACTTTTGACAATATTATTATTCCCTTGCCCCATCCAGGCACTGCTGATTATGGCTTTCCATATCATTGGAGCTAGACCATTACCAATAGTGTATTAATATCTATTGCTAGAAACACACTGGTTAAAGCACTGTGACTAACAGGATGCTGGCTACCAGTTACCACAGTTTATTATTGCTAGGCTCTATTCAGCACATTGGAGATGGTAGGCTCTAAACCATGAGGACCATTTAGGCTACAGCATCTGAGCTGGCTTGGTATTGCCTACTCTCAACTCCATTCAGAATCTCTTAGTATTGAACTTCAGAAAATAAATAGATTTAAGGACAACTGGAATATCAGATCTCAAATCTTATATCAAGCATGATTACATTGATCAAGAATGAGTACATTGCCAAGATTCAGAATCTTGTGCTCAGAAGAAGACTGCACCTTCCAACTTGGACTCAAGGACCATTAAGATATCAGGTCTCAAAGCTTATATGGAGAATGAGTACATTGCCAAGATTCAGAATCTCAGCCTTAGATGAACTACCTCACAATATGAAGAAGTATACTGCAATATGCTGGACCTGTAGGGATTGTCACAGGTAACCCTGGGGTACTCCAGGGGCTATCTGTACCCTTACCCCAGCAAACCTGCATCCGCAACAACGGGTAAGGGTTTCAGCAGGTCAGGGTAGGGGTTTTGTGAGGGTATGCGGGTTTGAAAACCCATGCAGCGGATATGCCGTTTGCGGAGGCTGTGGCATCGCAGAAGCGACACATGCTGTCAAATGACGTGGTGTCACACTCTGTGATGGTAGAGCCTGTGGGTGGTAGGGGATGCGAGAGCAATTGGAGGAGGTGTGGGCAAAGAGATGTGGCAGGAGGGTGGGTGAGCAACCCATCACCAGCATTCAGAAACAACACTGCAGTCAAAAGACATTGGGAAGTCATCTGTGAGGATCCACAAAGCAAGATGGACGTACCATGCTGCTGCCTTCATCCCATCATCACTGTCATTGTCATCTCGCCACAGCGCTGCCTCAGTCTCTTACCCTTGTCCTTGGAGTTGTCTTGTCCTCTTCTTGTTATGTTGGAGACCTGAGTGGTTGAACATAGGTTGTATCGTGGGCTAGTTTTAATCGTTGTGTTTGTGAGCTGGGCTCGCTTCCAATCATCAGATGGTTGTTCAATTGGTGGCGATACAGCACTGGCAGAATGGACACTGGTCAGCAGCACAGTGATGATGTGGCATGTGCGGCGCATTACTGACAGGGATGCAAGTATATGTAAGTGTATGAATTGAATAGAAAAGACTTTACTTATCTCAGTTCATCTAGATAGGGCAATGAGGGAGATGGCAACTACAAAGAGGGGGTGAGGTTGAAGACAACCAATGTGATATGGCTTCATTGTGGCTGTGTCGGCAAATTCTGAGCCAGGCGCTGGACCTGCCAACCTGGCTCATGGGTGCAGGTTTGATGAGGGTACAGATTTGCCAACCCGTACCCCTACCCTGCTGACCCTACCTGCCAACCCAGTGGGTTTTCGAAACCTGTGACAATCCCTATGGACCTGCAGACTTGAACTCAAGGATCACTCAGATATCAGATCACTGAACATGCAAAACTACTCCCAGAACATTCTGCTAAACAAGCAAATAATCTCTTTGCAAATATAATATTATATTATACCATAGGGAGAATAATTCACAATGGTGAAAAAACCACATATGAGAGCAGCCATGGTGGGACTAACTACATAGCTGAGATGTGAATTGTATGGAACACACACCTGATAGTTTACTCAGCTGAGCATCTAATGTAGAACTATAGGAGCACTGTTCAGCTGAGTGCTAAATAAATAGGATGGTACATTGTCCAGCTCATTCCATGTCCGTTTTAGAAGTAAGGACCCATGAAGGGCTGCAAAAAAAGGCAGTGGCTACTCTGGTGGGTGGTGGAGTTTTTTTGGTAGGTGCCAGCAGCCAAGGAGGGGGTAGAACCTACTTCGCCTTCCTGAAGCCTGCTATCTTCAGTTCTGACTCCCTCATTGACATTATTCAATGGATGCATGAGATTACCTCAATGTCCGGCCAGGATACAAGGCTCCATTCAAGGTCCGGCTGTTCCTTCTTTCTTCTGACCACATTGGACAACGCCGCCATGGACCCTGCTGCGCTGCTTGTGAAATATCTCAGAGACAAGTTTGCAGCTGAAATTGCCCTTCAAGATGGAAATGTTGATTTTCCAGCTGAATGGAGGTTGAAATTCCTGGAGGACTGCAACCAAATTGTGCAGCAATTAGTTGCAGCTTACTGCAACAAGAGTAGGCCACATGAGCAAAGTTATTGCAATTTACTGAAAGGCCCAATATTCAGAATATCTTGACTGGTCTATTGCTGATTATTCACACTTTCTGGAAGTCCAGAGCCCTTGTTCAACAGGGCGCAATGAAACACTGGAGGCAAAGCTTTGAACGCACTTTCTGCCACTCAACACCAGCAGGAATCTTGAAACACAGCCATTTATAGTTGTTGACAAAGAGGGCCATATTGTTATGTGGTACCTGCCAGGTATCTTGGGGGAGGCGCATTGGGTAAAGAGAACCACAAGTGACAAACTACATGAGATGATCTATGACCAGGAACAAATGTGGAAGGGTGTCAAGGTTGTTCAATGGCTGCTTGCCACCAACCGGTGCTCCAAGAGTTGGTGTCTCAGCGACAAGTACTATATGGTGGCAGAAGAATGCACCATCTGCCTGGGGACCGCCAGTTTCTCCCCTGTGTGGTTCCAGCAGGCGCATGCAGTGAGTGACCCAAGTCTCGGTTGACACTCACTGACTAGAAACTTAGGCTACCAATAATCTAGAGGTATCTGCTACTCTGCGAACCATGGAGGGCCTTCAATGGCTCTGTGAGTCCCAGGAGGTGAACCTCCTCATAGGTGGCATCCTGGGGGTCATTCACCCGGCGTTGTATGAAACTGGCTGCCAGACAGTGCAAGCACTGCATGGAGATGTTCCAGTGAAGAGGTAGCTGCAGGAGTGAGCCTACAAAGTGTCTAGAGTGACGACCTTGCAGATAACACAACTTATTGACTGGACTACTACCCGATCAATAATATTCATAATTGATAAGGAGGGTGATGATTTACGGTATACAACTGAACATGATGGAACTGTTGACTAACGCGATAGCAACACTATTTGAGGGACTTGATCACAAGTCAGATTGACTAGCAAACGAACTCTAATGCCTGAGAACCCAGAGATGTACAATGGGGACGGTATTTGGTGTGGTGTGGGTTGTTTCTTATGATGGACTTGAACTGCTTAACTTAACGCGACTAGAAACTCGAAAATGCCTTCAGACTTCGTTCTCTTGACTTGACTTCTAATGGCTCAATTGCCCTTGACTTAAACTTATCCCTTTGACTGACTTACGGTACACAGACTGACTTACAGTACTCAGGCACTTGGCTTAATGGTCCTTTGACCGACTTAGAAGCTTATCACAGAAACTCGACTTCGAACACTCTTCACTTGACTTGTCTCGTTCTCTCAATTTGCCCCGAACTCAACACACAAAGCTAATCACGCTGAACTGAAAATCAGATTCTGGGGGGTAAAGATTGCTTCCTTAAACTAAACTATTCGACACTTTTTATACAAACACAATTAGAGGTATCTGGTATCTAAGAGTCTGAGCCAAGTAATGTACCATGTGCTAGATATGCAAATTGAAATGAAGCATGTGGTGTTTTATTGTGAGAACAGCATAGACCAACGCCACCAGCACTAATCAGGCATTATCCCTGACGAGTAACTATGACCATTTTGGTTCCGTCCATCATTCTCAGAAGGCATCGCGCAGTAATGAGACCGCTTCACTACTCTTGGTGGACCTTGGCTTGACTGACCACAATATCAGTCTTATCACGGTTAAGTTATTCTGTGTGTGCACATGGAACTCCCTGACTCATCCTTGAGACTTCACTTGATTTGCCATCTTGGCCAATTAGCACTCTAACACGATGTGGCGTATTGCGATATTAACATAATGGTGTTGACTTTGACGGGCTGTTCCTTACTCTGGTGGAACAGTTTAACCCTCAGTATGTTTCATAGTCCTTGGATTGTGACACTACATTTGCTTTTGTAATGCCAGATCACCCTTGTATCACGTTTAGCGCCTCTGCTTCTTTACTCGTTCGACTATGCTGGCTTCTTGCGCTTAGATGGTCTTGTAGACAAATTAATAGACTGTGCTTTGGTTTATGACTCTGTGGTGTATGGGTATACTAGTCTTTGGATAATAGCACATTAAGCACCATTGATCATCATGTCCCTAGTTGAAGGTGACACTTATAACAATTACTGGCTGTGTGTTCTTATCACAACTAGGTGCTATCATGTCAGTCCGAGTCTTTGACCATTGCGAGTAACATCTCATATTATCTAAGTGGGTGGCACTCTAACCAAGGGAGGCCGCAAAATTGTAGGCTTGTACGGAGCATGGCTCCTCACTGGTCAACAAAGGTGCCAATCTTGAGGATATCCTGGAGCTTTAGGCATTACTATTCACTGGCATCTCCATCATGAATAACCACCAGACACCTGTCCATTGTGACAGCAGTGGAGGCTTCAAATGCATGGACCTCCTTGCGACAGTCAGCCCTTACATGAATGGCAAGATGGATATCCCAACAGTCAGCATCTGGGTCCGCTACTCAGCAGGGACAATGGTCGGTATCACTGGGAGGGCTTTACTTCATGCTGCTGAAGCGACGGGTGAAAGAGCATGCTTTGCCTACTACATGAGACACAATGTCTTGAAACACCTCAACTTGGAGGAGCCAGGATGGGCAAAGGTCTCAGATATTGACGACATGGTTGCAGACATGATGGAGCCAGATGTGAAGCCCAAAAGACTGTGAAACAAGGGACTGGTCATTTGCTATGTACATACAAGGTGACAGGGAGCAGAAAGAAAGTGCAGTATGGTGTTCAAAAAGCCTGCAAATGGCGGCAACGTCCATGTGCGGTGCTGGGAAGTAGTGCCATCAGGGGGAGCTTCAGCAGCAGCAGTGGTGATGACACATACCTAAACTCCACCTCAAATTCAGAGGTCTTTACACTCCCCCACGTATCCCTATAAGACTCCAGTGGACTCCAGTGGAGTCTGGTAGAAATATATTAGCAGGAACACCAGCCAAAAGTGCCTACTGGACTCCACTGGAGTCACCACCCAAAGTCTACTGGAGTTCACTGGAGTCTACTGGAGTGGAGTGTCTATTTTCCACTGGACTCCTATAGGACCTCAGTGGAGTCCAGTTAACAATGCAGAGGGATGTCATAGTCATAGAAGAAAAATGTGACTGATGCCAAGATTGATGGTAGGTCATGCGACTTTTTATTTGCCTTTTCCTTCAGGGTCAGCTTCTGAAACTTTGATATTATGGCCTCAAATAGAAACAATTAATAAATATATGATTGCTAGGCCCAGACTTGGCATTAATAAAAAGTAATAAAGCCATCAAGTTTGCTGATGCCATCAATATAAGAGTCACATGTGACAAATTGGATTTTGAAGACAATATTGCTTGATCTATACAGGGACTGGGAATTGAAATATGCAGGTCACATGACTGTGAGAAATATTTTTTTTTTGGGAGAAAATCATTGCAATAAAAGCCCTAGGCTCAGATGCTTCTGAATCCACTTGAGTAATAGTATTTGGCTCTATTAATAACAAGATATAAGCCAAATAATGCCAAAATTTACAAAGATGACCTATTTTTTTTGATATTTTGCATTTTTCTTGCCAAGCACAGCAGCTGATGACATCAAACAACTTGATTCAGGGTCAACCAAAGGTGCTCTACCAATCCTGATGCTTTTTTCTGAAAAGAGTGATTATTAAGCATCTTGTTACATACTCTATATGCTGGACTTGGGCAATTGCTCAACAGACTATTATCTATTCTGATGCATAATAGGTACTGAGTAGTAGTCCATTTTGATACATATACTGGAGTCCAGCGGACTCCAGTAAGACTCCAGCAAGACTCCAGTATCACACTCCAGTAGAGTCTAGTATACTTTCTTACTGGACTCCACTGGACTCCACTGAACTCCACTATACCTTCTTACTGGAGTCCACTGGACTCCACTGGATAATATGCCAACTCCACTGGACTCCAGTGGAGTCCTATAGCACTCTGTGGGGCCACAAAGTACTGCAAATTCACCAGCCTGGAAGGTGCTATCGACCAGCAGGTCATCGTCCTCCAACTCTGAGTCTTGTTGTCCTGTTAGTCAGAGGAGGAATCCGGGGGTGAGAGAACTGGTGACATTGTCCATGAACTCACTTGCATTGGAGTTATTGGCACCAGTATCGACAAATTTGACAGCTGAGGGTGATTGGCACCTGGACTGAGGAGGGAACTTAGCAGGGCTTGAGCTAGGGCTTTCCTCGGTGGCCTGACTGGTGCTAACACGGGTTCCAGCGCCACCTCTGTTGCTGCCACTTGATTCAATGAATTCGAGACTGGGCGATCTGCGAATGAGGCCAGGAGGGGCACAAGGTGATGGAGAAGGAGAAAGATTGAGGTGCTGATTGGCCGCAGGAGAGAAGGGGTGCTGGCCGACTTCTGGGTCAACGATCGTCCCCCCTGATGCCTGACACTGGTTATGAAGTGCCGTCCACACTGTGTGTTGCCAGAAAAGGAAGCTGAGGGTGTCAGCCTGCCTCGCAATGGCAGCAGAGGCAGAGCTAGAGAGTTCTTCTGCCTCTGTCAGCAGCTCCCAAATGTCACCGGCAGGGAGCATTGGGGCGGACACGTGAAGAGGAGGGAGGGGATCTGACTGGCCGCAGGTGTGGGTACAAGGACAGGAGGTTCTTTGACTTTGTACAAGAGTGACAGCGCCCTCAGACAAAGCGTCATGAGGTCCAATTGGGGGAGCTGCTGTATGACTAGCCTCTGGAAGGACCTGAGGGCAGATGGTGATGGGTTCACCACTGCTGGTTGCCTGAGCCAGCAAACGCAGACACAGTGCCTCCAAAGGAAGCAGGATGCTGCAGCACCAGTAGTAGCCACCTTGAAGCTTCAGGTTTGGACAGTTGCCCAAACACCCCAATGCATCAGGGCGGACATGAGTCCAGTTGGGCAACTGTCCAACACAGAGAATTTCTCATTTGCAGAGCTCTCTGTCACACTCATTTTTTGGTGTGCAACCCCCTGCTCACTGTCTCAGACAGCGAGCAGCCTTGAAAAAGGGTGCGGGAAAATTTGGCAAAAATAGCCAAAAATCATGTGATTGACGGCACACCTGTGTGCATCATCACCAATGATTACTAATGTAAATACCACCAAATACAGCCTAAAAAGGTGTTTTTCTGCAAGTTTTTGGGTAATTCTGGCTCTCCCATGGCTCCGAAAATTAGGTAATGGATGTAGATTAGATAAATACATTTATCTGCGATTTATCAAATTATTTCCCACACCCTGCAAAGCCAGGGGCTGTGGGGCATGCTTGATAGGGGCTATTATAATGGGGTGGGATGGTGGGGGTGGGTTCCGGGTGCCACAGGGGCCTAAAAATGGGTTAGGTGGGTGCAGACATGAATGCTAATAATTATCATGACTCCCACGGGGTGCGGGATGGGGCAGCACGGCTGTAAAAGGCAAATTACATGAAAAATCCAGAGTCTTTTGCATTTTTAATACAAAACAATTCAATATCAAATTGAAGACTTAATATTTTGGCGTGAAACTTTGAGGACCTTTTCATCTATGGTGGCGGATGCTTCGAGAATATTTTGAGCATTTATTGTGAATTATGGGGTGCGCCACACAGCAGGGAATAGTGTGCACGGTGGCGTTTGATGCACTTTGCCCAATTAGGCAATTTTTTGATGGTTGGACATCCGTGCATAATTCCGGCTCCCCCTTGCATTATCTCGCACTTAGCTTTGGCTGAGCGAGTTATTTGTTACATTGATACCTTCCTGTAGACCCTTGTATCGTGTGAAACAGATGAGAACTCGTTGAGATAAGGCAAAGACAAATTTGGCTACTATAATGCATGGTGCACCCATGCATCCTCGGGCACATTTAGGGCCATTTAACTCAGCCAAAAATCATGTAATACATGTCTGAGAGTAATAGCACCATTTATAATGCCAGGGGGTGTCTGGGTGTAGTATATCTGAGGGGAGGGGGTATAGGTACACCAGGAGACCCACTCTGGATACCCCACTAAACGTACCTCTGAAAGTCTGAAAGTTGGTATGTCAATAGTGTATATTTATTAATGAATTTAACAGATTTTATCATATTTTTATGCAGCCTAGAAGCTGGGTTATTGACCGATTTCCCAGGATATAGAATATTCTATTGACCTCCAGGATGGGCGATATTGGCACATGTAAAATCATGATAAATGATGATAAATGTATAGTAATGGAACAAGGTACTTGCAGAAGCAAGGGAGTGTGTCTGTGTAAAGTTATTAAGAGGAGAAGGAGGAGGTAGTCCTCCACATGAGTATCTATGTAAATACTTACCAAATCCACATATCGCACCCATTCAAGTGTGCGTTCGGGTCAGGATAATGTACCTTAGTATATTTAAGTAGTGACAGATGAGGCTCCAATGCCTGGGTGGCATTGTATTTTAATATTAGTGGAAAATGCGTGAAAAACAGGAAAATAATTAAAATGACTACCTTGGACTTGCTCATAAATTACCAAACTTTATATGAGGACCTATTAACACTCCAAAGGGACTGCATCAGGAAAAACCTTTTTGTCTTAGGTTGTCCTTAAGATCAGCAGCCAAGTCAGGTGCACCTCAGGGCACTTGTGCTGTCTTGTGGTTGTCCTGAGGTGTCTTCACTGTCTTGACCTCCTCCTGCAGACATTCTGGGTTCTTCTAATTGGTAAGTAAAATGAAATTTACACTGTCTGGGCCCATATAAATTATTTTCTCATGATCTTCTAGCTGGGACACATGGGAAAAGAAATGTATGTCTGATATTTATTTAGATGGACAGTACTTGAGTTTCAATAGAAAACATCCTCCAAAACCAATAGAAAGGTATTTCAGAATACTCTTATATTCATTCTTCAAGTGCTTCATTGAATAAAAAGACACCAGGTATATTATTTGTGCCTCTGTAGAGGGGGAGTAGCACAGCAAGATTTGTTTATAGCAGGGGCAAAACAGACTCTCTTGCTCTAATTTTCTGCGTACATGTAGATACATAGATAGTGTATGTAGTCTCAAATTTTGATAAAGATACGTCTAATATCACCAGAGATATAGATGTGCACATTTTTCTTATTGAGCAAAGTCAAGAACATCACATTCTGTGTGCAAATGGTGACCAAACTGGCTGAAACTTGGTACACATTATCACATGTATGTATACTATTGGGTCCCAGAGTATAAATGCAATGGGCCTAGCAATTATGGAGATATTGCATGCAGAAACCCAGAAACTGCAAACTCTTTACAGGAATATTGTGAATTACATAGAAAGAATGCATTTATAAGAAAAATAAATGCCATAAACAGAATGAGCATAAAAATACAGTTCTGACAGTATATAATATGTAGGGAATTGGATCTGATAAAGATGTGCTACTACACATAGCATTGACTTTGGGTGATTTATCACCAAGGCATACTGCATGCTCAGCACAGCCACTACTGAGTGCTTTGTCAAGGGTCAAGATAAAATTCCTCAGCAACCGCTTAATCAATCACCACAAAAATTTGCACACTTTTAGATACTATATATGCTCATGCACTTGTAAAATTTCAGACAGTCTCCTGAAGAAATGACCAAGATATTAGTGTTGCACTTTCTCAAAAACCCGCATTGAGATACCTCAACCAATAATAGTGCGGAAAGCTCATAAGCTGGGATCCATTAACAAGAATATCAAAGGTACTTGCACACCAAATTTCAGTCTGATAGCTCAAGCAGTTGTTGAGATATTGAGTCTTCAACTTCAGGTAAAGTATGCACACTGCACCCTCAGCACAGCCACTGGTGGGCGCTTTTCCAAGGGTCAAGATGGAATTCCTCAGCAACCGCTGAACCAATCTTCATAAAATTTTACACACCACTAGGTACATTATAAGCAAAGGTGATCGCAAATTTTCAGACATTTTCGCAATGAAATACCTGAGATGTTAGTGTTGCACTTTCTCAAAAACCTGCATTGAAATATCTCAACCAATAATAGTGCAGAGAGCTCATAAGCTGGGATCCATTAACAAGGATACCAAAGGTACATGCATGCAAAATTTAAGTCTGATAGCTTCAATGGTTGTTGAGATATTGAGCCTCCAACTGCTGGTGAACACTGCTGGACGCTTTTCCAAGGGTCAAGATGGAATTCCTCTTCAACTGCTCAACCAATCTCCATGAAAATTTACACACTGCTAGATAAGGTATAGGCGCAGGCTATTGTAAAATTTTAGACATTTTCACGGTGAATTAACCGGGATACTAGGGGTGCGCGTTTTCAAAAACCCGCATTTGAATATCTCAACACGTAATAAAGCGAGAGCTTTATAAGCCGGGATTCATTAACAAGAATACTATAAGTACTTGCCTGCAAATTTTCAGCTTGATAGCTCAAGCAGTTCTTGAGATATTGAACCTCCAACTGCGGGTGAGCTATGGCACGCTGCACTCAGCACAGCCACTGCTGGGCGCTTTTCCAAGGGTCAAGATGGAATTCCTCTGCAACCGCTTAACCAATCTTCATGAAAATTTAGACAGTGCTAGATACATTATATGCGAAGGTTACTGCAAATTTTCAAACATTTTCGCATCAAATCACCTGAGATATTAGGGTTGCTCTTCTTCAAAAACCCGCATTTGAATATCTCAACAAATAATAAAGCAAAAGCTTCACGAGCTGTGATCCATTAACAAGGATACCAGAGGTACTTGCACAAGAAATTTAAGCTTTATAGCTTAAACGGTTGCTGAGATATTGAGCCTACACTACGAGGAAGTGCATCATTTTCAAGCTCTAAGTCATTTCAAACTCAGACAGGCTGAGCGCTCATACAGGAGGTGGAAGCTGAATATCTCAAGAACCGCTACAGCTATGGACACAAAAATCCACAGGCATCTACAATACATACTGTTGATAGTTTCTGCAAAGTTATATGTTATTTGATCAAATATTTACTGAGATATTAGAGGTACACCTTTTCAAAACTGTGCAGACATAATATAAAAATTTGAAATTTTGGAATATCATTCATTCATATCATGAGATCACTGGTGCAAATTTTGAGAAGCATAGCTGATATATTTCTTGCAGTATTCAGCTAGGGAGAATGGTCACATCTGTGCCATACATGGTGCAGAATCGTCACAATGAGTTGTGCGTCGCACAATCAACAAAGTCACATGATGGTCATGGCGCATTGTTTGGTTGTCATAGCTCCACCAAACAAAGTGTGCAGCAAGTGTCGTCAAACCTGCCAGCACTGTACTTCCATGACTCTTCCCATTCCCTTACCTCACCCACTGTGACGACGACAGACTATCATAGCTCGCTCTTAGTACATATGTCAGTTCTCTACTTGCCTCGTGACTTCATGTTGCTTACCTTTGTTTGTACACAATTACCTTCTTGCACCAGTAACATTTGTGTATCTCAGCTCTTACAATAATCAGTCTACTCTCCTGTTGCCCCTCATAAGGCTTATATCACATCGTGCCAGCTGAACAAGCTTGTACTTGTTCCCCTACTGAGGGTCACATGGTCTCAAGCTAGAGTTACAAGCACTCTTGAGCACTCAACAGGCCCTCGACCCTTTTCTACTCAATACTACGGATTACAGCAAGAAGTCCTATCGAACGGTCGTTACACCCACTTTCAAATGCGCTATCTTCTCTTTTCAAAGGTATGTCTTCTATCACATATTAATGATCTTCTTATTACTCAATACCCATATTTCCCCTTCACAGTGCGTCTCTCCTGCCAGCGCATACTCACGTAGCCCCCAGTTCATGGTCTCAACAACAGGTATGTACTTATTTCTTTTTCATTCAATGACTAGATTCTCATGAACATATTCCAGAACATGGTGCAGGACAAGAAGAGAATTGAAGGAGTGGCAATGCAAGAATTGGGAAAGTGAGAATTTGGGAGTCAGGTGGCAGCGTGATGGGTACCAGAGTGAGTTGTAATATTTTTTTTTTGTCTTCATCCTACTGACTATATATCTAGATTATGATATCTTCTTTCTATGCTATGGGTGAGTGCATATTTCAGTAGAAGGGGATTGTATTATAGCATACAGTACTAGTATTAGTGTAATCTGTTCAATGTACATTAGATAGAGAAATATAATTGAGTCTTCTCGAAATTTGTAAAGACAAATTTTGTAATGACCTGAACAGAGGGAGGGACTTGGCCTCAGCATGCTCTTGTGCTGTGCCCCTACACATCATCTGGTTGTCCCCAATTTACAGGAACTGCCTTGGTCTTGACAAAGGAGAGACAAGAAGAAGTCATCCTGGCCAAGGCCCAGGAGACAGAGGATGAACAACAGAGCAGAGGGGTTGTCAAGGTTGAGATTCAAGCTGGGGAATCCACTACACTACCTAGCTATTTATACTATTGAGAACAATGGAGAAGATCTAGGTTATGTAATGAATGCCAGCAGAACAATGACAGAGAACAATAAGGACAATAATGAATAGAACAATGAAGGGAAAGCCCATTGATGAACCAGAACAATGAACAATGGGACAATGGAACAATGGATTCAGGAATGAGATGTGACAAATTTGATATTTTATTCTTCCAAGAAACACCTTGGAATTTCATAAGACGCGCACCGTCCACCACTAGTATGGAGGGCGATGAGGTTATTGGTGCGCTGAAGCATCCTGATTGGTTGCAAATGGTATGCATTAAGGAGGGTGAAGTCCCATGCATCATCGCCTATGTTTCGACTAGGCTCTCCCGCTATCGTCCCACTATCATCCCGCTATGCATCGCAACATCGTCGACCATCACAAGATCCTTGTCCTCTCCATTTTCAGTGGGGGCGAGGTTCTTAATCTCATGAATGTCTATTCTGACAATCAACACACAGCCATTGAGCACCTCGCTGCTCGTGTGCATTCTCTACCACCTTTCATATATATGGCAGGCGACTTCAACTGTGTATCGACGACATGGGATGACTATGAGCATGGTGAGTCATCAACAGCAATATCCCTGCAGGACACCACATCTCAGATCGGCCTCAAGTGGGCACGACCTTCTAACCACAGACCAACGAGGATCAGTCCCAATCCAAACCAGAGATCCAATGTGTTGGATCTTGTATTCTTAGCTCCATCTGAGATCTTAATCTCGATGCCCAGATTGGAGCACAATCTCCAGGGTCTGTCAGATCTTGATATCGGTCCCGAACCGCCCAGATCTGGGCGACAGACAATCAAACCTGGAAGTGAGGCTGAAAAGTCTTTCATTTCGGATATTCTCCAGGATCTTGCAGCTATTCCTGTTGCAGCCCCAGCAACCAAGGAAAGCGTTGAAGCTTTAGCTGATGCTATCGTGACGGTGTTCTCGGACGCATGGCTTGCCCATTCGACTGAGTCCAAACCTACCAAGCGCTCCAAGTCCTGGTGGACAGATGAGTGCTCGGAGACATTTGGAGTATATCAGCTGAGCCGCTCACTGGCTGATTACAACAAGTTCAAGAAGGCGTGCAAGGACGCCAAGCATGATTTCTTTGATGAACGCATTGCAGAGATTGCTACCTCTCACAAGTGCCTGTGGGACCTAATGGAATGGGTCAAACAGCGCAAGCTACCACCCTGTGAGGCTATTCGCAATGGCGATCAGCCTTGTCATGATATGGATGACCTATGGGACACCCTACACAGCATGTACAACTTGGCCTCTGGTTGCGAGTATGATGCCTCAGTTTTAGACGAGCTTCCTGACGAGCCGGTCCGTGAGTGGGCTGACTTTTCAGAGCATGAGTTGCTGAGTGCCCTGAAGGGGTGCTCCAACTCCTCTGTGCCTGGACCGGACCACGTTACATGAGTCCACCTAAAGGAGTTGCTCAAGGATAGACATGTCCTTGCGCTCTTCATCGTGCTGGCCAATGCTTGCCTTAGAGTGGGGCATTGGCCACGTATATTCAAGGAGTCGCTATCGGTTATCGTACCAAAACCGAACAAGCCCTCTTATGCAGTGCCGAAGGCTTTCAGGCCTAGCGTACTCCTCATCACTTTCAGTAAACTTATCGAAAAGATGATTGCTAGCAGCATACAGTTTGACGCTGTCAAACATGATATCTTTCATCCAAACCAGCTTGGCGGCATTCGCCAAAGGTCAACTGAGGATGCTGGATTGATCCTGACTCATCTCGTCCGAGCGGGGTGGGTTAAGGGTCTCCAGACTAGCATGCTGGCTTTTGACATTGCGCAGTTCTTCCCTTCTATCAATCATGAAATGTTCATGGCTGTCCTGTGCAAGCAAGGTTTCTCCCCAATTTTGGTGGATTTCTTTGCATCCTACTTAGTTGGTCACTCCACAGTTTACTGCTGGAACACCTTCCAATCTGACTTGCAGTCCACAGACGTGGGTGTTGGGCACGGCTCAGCTCTCTTGCCTGTCATCTCAGGGCTCTTCATTGCTCCAGTAATGAAGCTCTTTTATATCAAAGCGGCACTGCTCAACATGACACTGCTCTCCTTTGTGGACAACGGGACCATCTTGGCCCAGTCCAAACAACTCGATGATAATAATGTGGGCCTGCGTAAGGCCTATAAGATTATCTACCTTCTCTTTGTTGCATTCGCACTTGTCCTTGAACATGACAAGACCAAGCTGTTTCACTTCTCGTGTTGTCGCGATGCCTACAATCCTTCGCTTGACCTGGGGTATGCCCCACATACAGGCGCTACACCTTTAAAACCCAAGACCTATTGGAGGTATTTGGGCTTCTATTTTGACCGTGGGCTCACTTTTCATGAGCACATTTGCTATTACGCCACCAAGGCATTCACCACTGTGCAGGCCATGCGCATGCTCAGGAACTCTACCAGAGGTCTTTGACCTAAACAGCGACGCCTCCTCTACAGATCATGTGTGGTTCCTATTGCCACATACAGTTATCGTCTCTGGTACTTCAATGGCACCCATAACAAGGGCGCCATGAACCAGCTCAAACAGATGCAGCAAAAAGTTGCTCTTTGGATTATGGGTGCATTCCGCACCTCACCCACAGGTGGTCTTGAGGCTCTTGCAGGTCTCATCCCTGTCCATCTCATGCTGAAGAAGTTGGCGATGCGCGCAGTGTATCGCATCGCCACCCTCTCAGACACCCACCCTCTGCACTCCATGATGGGTGAGAGACTCCTCAAACAGGCTGAACCTCATGCCTGTTCTGCCGCCTTGATGACCCCAGCTATGTGAGGGAAAGTCAAGAGCACTGTCATGGAGGTGGACGAACAAGTCCACACCTTAACTGAGAGCTTTGAGCCCTTTGCACCCGAAGCTCGCCCAGGTGATTGTTTACTGGACTGCTATGCAGACCATCTCCGCTTTGATGAGTGCGATCCTACTCAGGATAGGCACCCATACCTCGACGAGCTCATCGCAGATGTGAGAGCCGACCCACTAACAGTACTGGCTGCAGCTGATGGCTCTGTCCCTCAGTCTAACCAGTATCAGGCGACTTCAGCCGCTATCATCTACAAGGGACATTGTGAGCTCGAAAGGACTCGCTATGTCTCTGGCAGAGTTACCGCCCCTGATGCGGAACTCAATGCCATCTCGTGCGCAGTGCGCCTTGCTGTTAAGCAGGCAAACTGCCAACATATTATGGTCTTTACTGACTCTATGGGCTCGGCCCATAGAGCGGTTGACCCCGGCGTGCATTCTGGGCAGGCTTTTAGTCTGTCAGTATGTCGCGCTCTTCAAGAGTGGTTTGAGGCGGATGATCTCCATCGCATTACCTTCGTCTACGTCCCTTCCGCTATGCGGTGGGATATCCATGGTGAAGCACACAAGTACGTCACTGAACTCAAAGTCAGGGTTGGACATCGCAAGACGGACAACTCCATAGACGCGCTACGCTCTCGAGCTGCGCACTCAGTCCTGGATTCGTGGAATTCCACTTTCCAGGATCCAACTTACCGAGGCTCTGAATTCTTAGAGCTTCAACAGCCTGACGGGCGGCCGTTACAGCCATCGTACCTCAACGGGGGACCTTGGCTTTCAACCTTCGGACACAGTATAACTGAGTTCGCCCGCGTTTGCTGGTGTATAACTGGCCACGCGCCCATTGGAGCGTATTACCGTCGCTTCAAGATCAATGAGCCTCATGGCTGCACTTGCGGGGCTGCTTTGCAGTCTCGCCAGCATGTCCTCTTTCGCTGCCGCGATAGATATTCTGTACACTATCCCCGTTTTCTCGGGGATATTGCATCGTTTATGAAGTACAACCCTACGGCGTTTGGCTTCAACCGGGACCCATCGGGTGTCGGATAATCGTGGTGGGCGGGGTTGTTCCTCCTTTCGGGGGATTTATGGTGAATTGACACCACCGAGCTCTAGGGTTCGAAGACCTGCGCCTACCGCTATTTCTTCGCGCTTGCGGCCACTATTGTAGCGGGTTGCGGCGCCGCTAACCTTCTGCGTCTGGTTTCAGGCAGGCGCATCTTTGGCGTGTCGGCCTCAAGACACCTTGCCACCTCCCGGGTGGTGCTGTTCTTATCTCATTTGTGCTGCATGGCCTCTGAACAGCGTCCGACAACTTTGGGGTTTAGCGGGGCCTCGATGGTCTCTTCCCCTTATCCCACGTCACCGTTTTCGCGAGGTGGGTCTGGCTTTATGGGAGTTTAGGCGTTTGAGCCATAAGGCTCGTGGTTGGGGGGGCGGACGTCTTTTAGTAGTTTACTTAGTACCCAGGCCGCGTAGTGTACGTGTTTGTAGATAGCGAGCGGGCTGCCATCGAGCACCGCTATATAAATTGTTGATCAAAAAAAAAAAAAAAAAAAAAAAAAAAAAAACACCCCTGATGCGGTGATAAGGCTGCCAACGGCTAGCCTTATAATTTTGCAATTTCCCTACAATAGCAAACCCACATGTGCTATACAAAGTGTTATTAGTGAATGACTATAGACTTGGTCTTCATTATAGCACCTAGTCTTTAAGTGAACTTGATCGGTTAATAGACATGAGTGTGACCATATTCTATGGCACATGGTCAGTCATTTGTATTGAGTACACTACAAACCATCCTGAGACTAGTGAAACAAACCACAGAGTTGCATACCAAAGCACAGTTACGAGTTCTTACATAAGTAAGACTCGTTCTTTCAATCTGGGTCGCAGAGATCATTTTACTTTCCCATGTTATGGTCATCCATGTTTTTTTTCCCACAGTAAGTATTACATTGATGGCATAGCTACATTTTCAATAGTTCACTACATTTTTACTGGCTATTGTAGTAATGCTCTTCTTGCCCTCTGCAAAATCAAAATCACCAACCTCTCTTGCTCACTGCAGCCCTCTTTTGCCCTTCCAACCTAACCCCCAGCACCATCCAACAACAAGCCCTGGTGCCCAAATGATCCTGGACTTCACAGTTCAGCACCATTCACGCTTGTTCAGCCACTGCCACCTGCCCCTTTCACCCCATGACCACCTGCTCGCCCTCCTCACCCTCTGCCTCTTGCCCCTCCCAACTGGCCTCAAAAACAAAGAACAATGGCAAACCAACGTGCCCCTTCTTGCCCTTCCCCCCTTGCTCTCAACTTCCACCACCACCACCCCCTCTTCTTGCCCCTCTGACACCCCTTGCCCATCCCAACAGCCTTCAAGGACACTGAATGATGCTGAACACAGAGGTTGGGTGATGTTCACACTCGTTCTGTGTCCTGCCTGCCTGCCCACCCAGCACCGCCTGCCTCTCACCTTCCACCCCCACCACCACCGCTTCTCACCCTTCTAATGCCCCTAGCCCACACAAACAGCCACCCAGGACAATGAACAACACCAAACTTAGACATTCAGCAGCATTCGCAGTCATTCTGTGCCCCATCCACCCCTTCTCGTCCTTCCTCCCTCCCTCTCATCTTCTGCCACCACCACCCCCCTCTTCTTGCCCCTCTGATGCCCCTTGCCTATCCAAATGGTCCCCAAAGCACCCTGATGACAGCAAATGATGCCAAAGCTCTCATCCTCTAAAAAAGTTCACTTTCAGAACATCATGAAATAGAATAGATATATATTGAGAATAATTATGTGAAATACATGTTCCAGGAAGCAAAGGCCAAGTCATGAGTATGAATGAGAGAACACTGTTGTTGAGTCACAGAGGTGGTTGTTGTTGACTTGTGGAGGCTGTCATCAAGTCACACAACATGATGATGAACTGGTGGGGTGGAGTAAGTAATGGAAGGAGGGATTAGGGACAGTGACACACTATGCTGAGTCTCCCACTGCTCAGGTCTCCCTTGTGGTCCTTCTCTCCATCCAGCTCTTCTATAACCCTCATTGGAGGGCATGGCCATGGAGATGTTGGACCTGACATTGATCTGTGGAGGCGGTCATTGAGTTGTTGGAGCTGACATTGAGTTGTGGGGGACTGACATTGAGCCATGAGGGAGTGGCTTCCAGTTACTGTGGCTGATGTTGAATCAGCAGACCAGCATCAAGACATGGGGCCTATTATCAATTTGTGTGATGCAACAGAGAACTAGCAAATGAGTAAGGAAGAGTGGAAGAAGAGGTAGTCAGTCAGTCACTGCATTGGGCGTTCGGTCTCTGGCTACTCGGGTCTCCAGCTACTCGGGTCTCCCTTTGTCTTTCTCCTCCTCCATTCAGGCCTTCAAAATGTGTCCTATCCCTCATTGGAAGGCACAGATGCATGGTGTAGATATCTATAGTAGAAGAGGGAGAGGTGGAATGGTGATAGTAGCAGCAGAAGAAAGAAAGCAATGATGTAGCACGCGATTATGGCCAGCACAAGTCACCTGATCATTTACCTTACTGCCTACAAATGAAATAGTATTCACATACTCTACATTATATTTATGGGTACTATATTTTTCTCCTGTATTTTACATTAATTGCACAAGTTATTTCATGAGAATTGAATAAGAATTGACAGAGATATGGAATTTGCAAGATGAGGCGAGCGGCTGTGGTGGCTTTGTTTGTTTAGCCAAACATATGATGCACGAAAACTCCTGGAGAGTTTTCGTGCGTCATAGCTGTCAAACTCTGCTCACATGACCTAGCAAGTCACATGTCCTTCTACTACAGAAAGAGTGTCTCTATATCTCTGCAACAGCTGCAGCTACAGCTCTGAAATTTTATACACCATGAGGCGATGTTCAGGGAAGCTTACATAAGAGATTTCAGATCTTCAGGGGTGCTGTGGCATGAGATATTACATGTTTTAAATGCAGAAAACCCGCACCTCCATATCTCAACACCTACTGATGCTACAGGTCTATAATTTTGAGGCTAACATCACCTATATTACATCTACTTGTGTACGAGTTTTTAGGGCTGTTGATGTTCTTGATGCCAAGATATTGTGATATGCGCATTGTTTGAAATGCAAAAACCCGCACCTCTATATCTCAACAGCTACAGATGCTACAAGTCTATAAATTTGAGGCTATTATCAACCATATTAGATATACATCCAGACCGGCTTTCAGGTCTGTCAATAGTCTGAGTGCCAAGATATTGCAACATGCGCATTTTTGGTTTTTTTTTGGTGCAAACCAGTAATTTAAATATGCAGCCATGAATAATGAATGTACATCTATGAACTCTACATTTGCTAAAGACCTTCTGTATCCTACATAATGCTGCCAAGGTGTTCCAGTGCTCTGGTCCTTGCCAGGGGTAGAGATTTGAGTGCACATTTTCAGCTATTTTTAGAAATCAGCACTATTTAGTCAATTGTGCACACAATTCTGTGCACAATACTGATATTTTGGGACCAATATAACTGAACATTATGACTCCTTTGTTTCAGCTAGGGGATGTCTGGGAGAGAGGCCAGTGAAGCCACATTTTCATATTTTTAGGGGTGTGAAGCATTAATTTGACTGTAGATCTACCAAATCCTGGAATTTTCTCATGTTCAAGACCTCTACTGAGAGTTATGAATATTTCATGATTTATGATATTTTAAAATTAAAATTAAAATGGCCCAGAAATAATTGAAATATGCCAGCATTTGTCACAACCCATCCCCTGCTCCTGGCTCAATTATGCAACTTCCAAGGCTGTTATCTGGCTTCTGAGGCTCATGGTATTGAGCTGTGCACTTTTCAGATGCTTCTTAGACATCCAGGAATGAGCTCTGAGCTTCCAGAATGCTTCTGACATATGCCATGTCTCTAGCTCACCTCATTGTGCCTCCAAGCCATTGTTCTATTGTTCTTCATTGTTCTTATTTATTGTCTTGGCTGAGTTATCTGTTATATAATCATAGTATGTTATTCTACATGGCATAAATACCCATGTACAGTAGTTGATTCCTCAGTCAGAATATCAAACTTGCCCCATTGCTTAGAGTGCAGAAGAATTAATAAAAGAATAAATAGGACAGCTAAAGATATGAGACAAAAATGAACTTGTAATTGCCATGCAAAGCAATGGCCCACAATACCAAGTGTTGAGGACAGTGATAAACATGGTTCAACATTGTTGATCCTTTTTCGGCAATTGCCATATGGCTTCCGATTGGATGGTGGGTGTCTGTTCCGAATCCCAGTCTTCCATTCTCGAGAAACAGGATGTCTGTGGGCTCAGACATAGGCCATTAAGCCACAAAATAAGCATTGGAAATCTATTTGTAGATTAATTACATGCTTCGTGTAAATTTTAAAAGAGATCCCATTATAGTTGAGCTCAGAATAGCCCACACGAGCTGCTAGCGTGGTGATTTCGGGTCATGGTGCACATACTTACTTGCATGTACAGCAATAAAAAATAGTAAAATGGGACCACATACTCAAGGATTTTAACATGAAATATGCCCTCCACATTATGTAGGTCGCCCCCAAAGTGTGACTGTATTTTAAACGTCACGATCTCCAAACACCCATCTCAATGGTAAGATTTTCGTTGAAACCTGCAGTGTCAACATTACACTTACATATCTCTGTTATGTCTAGACGCATTTATGCCATTTAAGCTATAGAAATAGGACTTAATGTATCTATCAATCAGTACTCTGTATTTATTTCATAAAAATTTCCTTCTGTTGACCTTCCAGGAGGTTGCCAATGTCTTGCTCGACGTCGCATGTAGGCGGACCGGCAGCTCCAGCCAATGGGAACACGCAATGGAGTTTGCCAGAACGACAATCAACAATGTTCAACATCATTGATTGGTGCTCTCGACCACCACCTGCATCGCCCCGACATCTCAAAACGCACAATGAAGCTCGCAGTCATTGCATATAAGGTAAGTACTCCCATTTTCTTTTGTTTAAACTACTTATTCATGCATTATATTA